GGGACAAAATAAACAAAATAATAGTTTTATAGTGTTTAGTTAACTAGTATGTTACACTGTAAATAATTTATTTAAAGACCATAACCAAACATCTTTTTTCAATAATCATTAACTTATACATTTTCTACTAAACCTTTAAGGCCCGCAATTATTGGGTTTTCACATTATTCATAGTACAATTTATTCTGGTTAAATATTTAGGTACAATAGTAAAACTACCAGCTACAATACACAACAATATTAACCCATCCTAATTTCCTCTTTTACGAACATTCATGAATTAATTATTATTAGATATCAAAATAATGTACTAATTTACCAGCGCGTAAGAATTCATTTTTATTTATTACGAAATCAAAGAGATTACTATTACTACTTAAAACATATTATTAATATCACAAATCTAGACGAACAAAGAAATGATCGCGATTTCCTAAAAGAAACACTTAACCGATTTCTAACATGACGAAATAACTAGACAAGATTTTACAAACTGTATTACACAATATAAGCATATAAATAGAAAAACAAAAGTTTAGTCATATGTAGTCAAGTACCTAAAGTGGTATAACTATTTAACCTGTATAGTCAATGCTTTAAGTGTTGCTATAAGAACAGTTCTAGTATATTTTTATTTTCAACGCCGTTATATTAAGTGTTAATAACCCTAAAGCAAAAACAAAACTAAATGACAAATTTAATACAGATATATTTTAATAAAATATGGCAGCGGAAACTGACAATAAATACATTTATACAGTAGGATAATAATTCTCTTTTTACGATGTTTAAATGTAACTTTTCATTATCAAACGACCAATGATAGTTTTATTTCTCTAATAATAACAAAATCACAACTTTCGAGGTCCATAATTATTTTAAATATTAATTAAATGTATACAAAGATTGAATAAAATTAAATAAATTAATATTTTGAAAAATCCGATTTTATTAAGTTTTGTTATAGTAATTGTTATACTTTTTTAATACTTTTTTTAACCTACGCAAATGTCCATATGTTATCCAAGAAGTATAATTATAAATAATGAAATATCATGTCATTCATTCATAAACAAATTAACGTTTTACTCAATCCTTATTATCAACTTTCTTTACCATATAGTATATTATATTTTAATAATTTTATCAATGTACGTAAAATAAATTACCAATACAAAAAAATATCAATACAGACTATCTAAATATTATTTCAACTACACGAACTTGAAAATAAACGTCTTTTGACATACATAGATGTGTTTAATAATTACTACTCAGTTTTTCATTCAGACTGTATAAATTCTATGGATGTTTTCGTAAATACAAATTTACTATGAGAAAAGTTTTCTAATCAACCCTGTGTACTATGTATGGAATGGTAAATACTAAATTATAGCTTCAGATATTATGTAACTTAAAATATTTACTCCTAAAACTAGTATACGATGTAATTGATCGTTAATTTTCTGGAATTATACTACCCTGATGGCATATCGTATAGAAAGTACCTATCTACAATAATACCAGGTTAACATGGTTTAAACATAGATGTATTAACTTAAAGAGTAGAAGTACAATTAACCCATAACACTAAAGTGATGATTATCAATATTTAATACATTGGTGAATTTGTTTTTCTTAGTAAAATTAAATATAATGGCATTACATAATGTTATATAGTGTTACTCGTTAATAGAATATATAATACATGTAATAACAACTAAAACGTAATACACAAATCACAATACATAAAACTTATTGATTATGGTTGAATGTAATTTGTTACATCGCTATCTGTCGAAAAAATAACTGAATTATCGATTTTCAAAACGATTTTGATCAATAGAGTGCAGTAAACACATAAAAATGGCATATATATTATATAGTTGTGGCTACTAAAAAAATAGCTGTGGAATACTCCGTTAGTTTGTACTCCGTTTTATTATACTAAAATTGTACCTATGGTGTTGAAAAAAATACAACGTGTATTGTTATCGTCTGCTTTACCAGAATGAACTGTTGATAATCTTCAACCATGTTTATTTGATTATAAAACAGATATTTTGTTACCGCGGTCACATATGACCTTCCATGCATTTGTCATTATAGTTTATAGGTACAAGTCAGCGGTGTTTATTTTAACTTATTTTTCGTTTTTGATGGTTTTTATTCTTTATTTGTTTGAAATTAAAATGAGTAAACTTAACAATAAAGACATAAATTAAGTTTTAAACATTCCATATGAGAGCGAAGACGAGTTTTGTAATTTAGATGATGAATTTTTGGAAATATTTTCTCGAGACGTTAACGAGGTATACCTATTTATTTATAATTTTTTTTTAGTAAATAATTTGAAATCGTATTACTTAGAATTTTAATCATTGGCCGCAATTTGTAGATACAAGAAGAGTTTGTAAAATGCCATCATGTAAATCTCAAACATTTGTAAAATGTATAAAATGTAATGTATATTTGTTTGTTAGTAGAAATAAGACGTGTTTTGAAGATTTTCATACAAAATGAACAAGAAAATAATTATTAGAATGTTAAAAAAATTATTAAAAAAATATTTAAAATTATTTAAAAAAATTATTAAATTTAATTAGAATTTAAAATAAAACTGTAGAATTAATTTTTATTTTTTAATAGTAATAATAAGATGTGTTCCATGCATGTGAGGTCATATATGCATTGAGACTTAAAATGTACGTAAGTTCGTTCAAAAGTTAATAAAACATTTTTTTTTTATATCCCCAACTTTTGTATTATAATATTAATCATTTCTAATTTATTCGTAAAAAAAAAAATTCATGCAGTGAAGGGTTAAATTTGTTACATGGATATTAGATACGAGTACTATAATTAAATTAAAGCTAGCATTTATTTTAGAGTAGTTTAACAGTCTAGACATTTTTTTCTATAAAACACAATAAGTTTAAAAGGAGTAAACTGTAAAATACAACTCGAACCAGACTGCAGATAAGATTGGTTAGATTTATGAAGTAATATATTAGTAGAGAAAATATATCGTATATAGTGGTAAAATTATCACTTAAACCGAATTTTAATTATATAGAGCAACACCCCTTTATTTAATAGTTTTATTTTTTAATTACTTATTCATTTTTAAGGATCGTATGAATATATACAAATGTATAAAACTATAATTTTTTTTTTTTAATGTTAAACATTTTTCATGAAGTTAATTAAACTTATGTTAACCGATTTCAAAATCACTATAAACTATATTAAAACAATTCTAAATTTAATGGTATTAGTATACTTAACAATTAGTTTAACTATAGAACACCAAATTATGGATAACATTAAGGACAAGAACACATTTCAACAGTAACTTTCAGCATCATATCACATTACTTTTAAATGTTTCAATACAATATTACAAAATAAATAAACCGCAGTGTACCTAATTACCTACCTTATTTTTTTTCTTTTTAGTAAAAACTGTTACTGTAAATATGAAACTGTATATATAATTAAAATGCTTAATTAAGTATCTGTACCAATTTAAACCCAATTAAAACTCACAACCACGAATATATTAAAACGAAAAAATATAGAAATATATTATTATTACCCAACAGTTCAAATCGGTATATTTATATACTCATTAAAAATTCTATTAAATAAAAAATGAAACTATAATTGTTCGGAATAAAATCGTATACATATTTTTACAAACAAGACACGTTTTTCTATAATTGAAATTCAGCTAGGTACCGAAAAAAGTAACAATAATAAATAAAAAACACTGAAAAAATGAATACTGAGTAAATATGACAGTAAAAAGACATCAGAAACGAAAAATATAATCTAACGACTGCCATAACGTTGTTTTAATGGAACTCTCTTCAGAAGTCATTCACAAAAGAAAATAATTACAAGAGGAAATGGTTATCAAAAATTCTCCAAGGTTTAGAAGATAAAAAAAATTACATTTTTATTGTTATTTTTATGACAAAAAAAGCTCATGACATTTTCTGAAAATTACTCTAATATACTTTTGTAGAATGAAACAATATTAAGAATTACTTTCAATAAGGATACGATTGTCTAAACTTATGATTTTTGACAAATATAAACACCCAAATTAAAACTATTTAAAAACATTATTTTGACTACTTTTTTACCATTTATGTCAATATAATTTACATTTTTTTTGGGAATGTACCTGATTTAACCAACCTGGATCTAAAAAATAAACAGTCCGCAATTTTTTTAGTGAGAATGACAACTAACGTTTTTCATCTAAAAAATAATTAAATATTTTATTTTATTTTTATAACACGACTACTTACATAATCGAAAAATGAAATCCTAACAAAAATTGACGCAGAGAAAAAACTCATCAAACAATTACAAAAAGTAAAGATAAAAATCCAATACTTAGTCTGAGCTATTCGTCAAAATGAAAATACATATGTATGCTTTACATTTGTAACATAAGGTACAGTTATCAAATGCATTAAAATATTATCTTTTATTAAATACATTCATAAAATCATTATTAGTTTCCAAGAAAAATAGAAAATTATTACTATTTTAGTTTCAACATTTCTTCCATAGTTTTGACTCCTTGTATTAATTTTGTAATTTTTCAACTTTTATACATTATCAGGGATAGATTCATAGACTATAAATACCTATTTAAATGTCAATATGCTTAATATAATTAAATCATTCTCACTATCATGTCGAAACAGTTATTGAATATTCTCTACATAAAACCAAATTCACAGTTCAGACATAGATTAGGACATTAAAAATTGCGAATTATAAATGTTTGTTATTCAATAAAAAATGATAGGATATTATAATTATAATCTGAACTTATATCGATAGCATGTAAATAAGCAAGTATTTTTTTAAAATGACAGTAATCGTCTCATACCATGTATTTATTAAAAAATTACCTACTATCAAATATGCATAATTCAACAACTAATTATCTTTGGAAAACTACTTAAACTGATAAAATTAAATAATCGACGTTTATAACGATAAACCACTTCTAAGCTGTATAGAAAAAATACTAATTATCGTGTATTAGTAACTATGTTCATTGTAGACTATACAGGTGTTCCTGGTACCAATTACACGACAAACCATTAGGATAACATGGTAAGAATTTATTTTTGCGTTTTATCATATTTTTATAAAAATAATTAACATTTCTTTTCGGTTATTATTATCGAGACATAATATATCAATACAGAGGCCTTCACAAAAAAAATCTACACAGTACTGAAAAACTTAATCAGTAATATAAACAAATTATTCTCAGAACAATTACTAAAATAAATGTTTATATCACATATAAATCAAATAAGCTAACAAATATATAGGAAGGTATATATTTTCTTAACGAAGATGATACCCCTTTATAAATGCTATTTTTGTTTATTTCAAGATTTCATCGCAGCAAAATTACGTATTTTACAATATTTTATCGTATAAATTACTACTATACCTACAAAAATGATACACAGAACATTATTAGCAAAATAACTTTTAGACTTATATAACATTGTATTACACTAGACCACTATATGCTATTAGCAATATGCATTTTTTAAATTTTAAGTACATAAAAACTAAATTGTACGAATATTATTATATTAAATGTAAACTCATCTTTAGACAAAACGACACAACGCAACAAAACTAAAAATGTTTATATTATTTAGAATAATAAAGCAATTTTATAGAACCTCAATGTTAATAATTGAAATATTACATAATTGGTTTACATAATTTAAAAAATACACACGATTTATTTGGTTGTATACAATAAAACCACTAGAAGGTCCATTCAAATCATTATAAAATACTTAACAGAATATAAAAATTAAAAAAACACTTAGTCTAAACACATTATAAACTTTTTATTTTGACCTTGTTCAATATTACAATTCATAGAATTATTTTTTTATATACAACTTGGAACCTCTAGGTACACCCAATATTTTTAAAAATAAAACCCTATGTTAAGTGTAATCTACACTTATAAAAATCAAAAAAAGTTGAAGTTATACAAGTTTTATTATTCTACTATGAGTAGGCACTAATACTGTTAAAACTACTATTAAAAAAAAATATATGCATTTTAAAAACTATTTTTAATGGAAATCATGTCATCCTAACTCAGTTAACCTATAACGTTTGTCATACAATAGAAATGTATATTTTATAGTTACATTTTTTTTCCAATAAAAATTTATATATTTAGGCTAAAATGATAAAACTAAAACCATTAAATACCTAAGAAACAAATTTGTACCTATCGCAATATTTTTTTCATTTAAGCAAAAAACATAATTTAACATCACAATTTTAACAAGAAAATTATTGACTATATTTATGGTTTTTTTCGTAAATAATTACTCTTTAAAACAAAACCTTTTGACAAATCATATTAAAAAAGCAACTAGGCAAATAATAATAGTACAAAGTCCCCAAACTGTGCGCTGCTAAACTATATAACATTCTAATTAAATTTACAAATTTGACCAATTGTATGCAAGTATAGACAATAGTAAATGCGTTTATACATGTTTGTGAATACTTATTCTTAAATGTAATACAACAAACTAATTAACTGTTCACGAACAGTATCTAAACCTAATTTAACCTATTTATAAAGTGTCATTTAATTTAATTTAATATATGTAACTCAGATAATACGGTTTAAACGATTTTTTTTAATACTTAATTAAACAAAATCCTACTATATCCAAGTAAAAGATTATACATCTAGCTTTTCTAACATTTTATTTAACAAACATTTTTTAAAAAGGATTACCATGAAAAACTTGTCATATATTTTAATTATAATGTTGACATTTTTCTTAAACATAGTCCAATAACCTAACATACATTTTACCTACTTATTTAGTATTATAAATTACAAAATATTAAATTTAATAATTCTACTTTTAATTTTAATAAATAAAAAAAATTATAATTTACTATATTTGCAGTAGAAAATAACTCAAACAAATTCGATAAAATTAAGGTAAGAGCGTCTTCAAAAGATACTATACTAAAAAAAAAATGAAAAATAATTAATATATTAAGAAAGATAAAAATAAAGACTAGCGTTAGAATAGTACCTACACAAATTGTATATTTTAGATACGCGTATTGAGTACCTTTGCAGAACAGCAACCTTACTTTTCTTTTCAAAAAAAAATTTTGAATTATAATCCTAAGACACCGAATTTTAACAGGACAAAGAAGAACTTCACAAGAAGACTGAACAGGCAGATGAAATTGGGTTGTCGGACTCAAGCGATAACGTCGTTTGGACGGAAAATCTAGAGTATGTACGATATTATGTTAACGAGGGATTTGTATGTTCCAAAGAAGAGCTACCCATCAAAGTAGGTGTATACAACTGAGTCTACCTAGATAATTTAGAAATACAAAGGTATTAGTTACATGAAAAACTTCTTTAGTTTCAATACTAATATTTTTAAGTATTGCGTTCTAACTTCCAAGACTAGAAAGTAAAAAAATTAGAAAACCCCGGAATTATGTAAATAAGTACAGATAATAAGTCAATAACAAAAGCACAATATAATACAACAGAATTTTTCAAAATTCCACAATTTTAGTAAAGTTAAAGTTTTTAGGGATTTTTATTATCAAGGTGCAATTTAATATATTTTAACAAAACTTATTTGACTTTGATAAAGAACCTAATTCACAAACTAAACATAAATATACTATGACTTATGGCATATTTTTATAAATGATTTATCAGTTTAAAAAAAACATCATCTGACAACCATGTGATAGAGGGTTGGTTTACGTAATTACAGTTATCATATGAAAAACGTATACAGTTAAAATATTATACAATACGTCCAAGTGTTTCGTTAATTTATTTAAATAATATTCGAATGTACCAACATAAAATAAAAATTAAATCATTAACACTTAAATGAAAAATAATAAACAGTACAGTTATGGAGACAAATAACAATACTTACAAAAAAAAATCGACCTAATGTCTTGATTGTTAATCTAGTAGAAAATTCTTATTTAACTATATTTTACACCTAACGCATAACAAAAACAAAGTTATTATTTGTATATTATATTTAGGTACTATTTTTGCACAAAACAAAACTAACAAAATTGAAAAGAAAAATCTACACATACAACTAAATAATAGTTTTATAATACGACAAGTGAAATTATTATTTATAGAAAAACATTACAAGTACATTTCAATCCAATACACATCGTTACCAGTATACCTACATTCCTTAAATAGTAATGTAAATAAACAAATCCCAATTGTTAGTAATACCAATTATTCTTATAATAAACGAATCAATTAAAAAAAAAAGTTTTATTTAAAAACGTTTGAAAAATATTACTAAACCAGTAGGTGTACATATATTTATTTATTTATTAGATGAACGCTACTAATCTCAACATTATTTTACTAACTTATAAATTCGGTTCTGTTAAAAACGAACCATTTAACCACACCAAAAGACTCTTGAATTAATCAAAATTTCGTGTAAAACAAATTAACTTCAGTAATGAACATGAATGAAAACACAAAGATATATCACATAATTGAATTTAGAAATAATTTAATGATTAGGTACGATTTCTGAGAGATGTTAAAGGCATGTACAATTTGTAAAATATACTATTTAATTTGTTTATTAATATTCAAAGGAAGAAGGACCTACTACCAGTTCAGGAGGAGCTGACAAAGTGTTAGTACAAGATCCAATTTTAAGTCCACCTGATGGATTTATCAACGAAGCTTTCGAAGACAGACCACAAACATTGGATGACAACACGATAAATAATAACAACAACCTTCATCCTACCAACGTGAGTATTAAATAACGAGCACTTTCGGTTCATTTGTAATTCCAAAACTGATACTAATTTTTTTATTTTAACGGTTAAGTCCTTCATACCAAGTACTTGATATACATAACATAAAAAACTACAAACAAAAATATACATAATATATTATACAAAACTTTCGACAAGAAAAAATATTAGTCTAAAACAACAAGGCTATAAGTAATGACCAATTTCTAAATGCTAACCGATCGATCGTTAAAGGAAAGAAGTATGTTTTTGTTCTAGTTTTTTTGTCTCCTTATCTGCTCGAAAACAAACTTACGATTATTTATTGTTATTTTAGCTCTATGGTATACTTTATATATTTTTTTTTACTTTCCACAACCCATATTAATTTTTACAAGATTCCGTACAATAAAAAATTGCTATAGATTCGACATTTTTCTTATTTTTTCTAACTAATATAGAATATGCTTCAAGAAACTTCTCTATCCTATCCAAAACATCTACTAAGTAATAATTTAAAACTCAACTTCCATATGCGATCAAGTATTCATATATATTTATACTTAGAACATCAATACTAAGACTAGTCAGTCACAAATGCTATTTAGTTCATACCTAAGCTTTTTAAACAATAGAAAAAGTTTTGAGACAATATAAATTATTTTTACTGGTTGACATTAAGAACTTCCCAACTGATTAATTATTAAGTGGCTGAAATCTAAGAAGCTAAATATTATTTTTGGAACAAACTATTGCCGATACAAAACCGATTGCTCACTATAGCAATCGTTTACTCTGAGAAGCGATACATAATATATTCTAAGTACCTAGACCTATATAACAGGTATTTTGTAGCAGAACCCGTATCATGTATTATCTATTTGTACAGGGGACAGTGCCGCAGGCACACGATGCCGCCTCTGCTATTTGTCCTATATCAGAGAACCAAATTTCAAAACTGGTCAAAAACGATAACGGTGAGGTGGCCGTCGACTTGGAGACTAAAGAAAAAAAATGGAAAGTAAATTCTGTAGGATGGGACCGAACGAGAACCGCCATTTTCCTAGGTCTATTCCTAGCTTTTGACGCATGGGCTGCAATATTTTATTGCATTAAAAACGATATTGTTGGCGACATTTTTAACGATCAACCCGATTAGAATCTTTGATATAAACCTATGTAAAATTGTATGAATTATGAATACAAACATTATTATGTTTACAGCATATTATGATAATAATTACATGAACAGAATGAATAAACTAAAGAAAAATGTATACTTAACTATTTTACAAATACCTATATGGTACGCTAAGTAACTAATACAGTATATAATAACATGTTTTTCTACAATCTTAACATCAATAAAAATAACATAAGTACCAGTTACCTACAAATTTTGACTACTACTCGAGACATTTTCATTAAATTATGCAGTATTTTAGTAAATCAAATAATCAATTTTTAATTTACCTCGAGATAAAATATAACTTATTTCTATTATTACTATTTTTAGCGGTTACTTTCGCTTTACCACATTAACTATTCGACACATCTAACAGTTCAAAAATAAATACAAATCAAATGCTTCACACCTAAACTATGGAACTTTTAAATAAATATATTAAGAGAAAATATTCCCATATAGAATTTCTATGTCTTAGTAATCTCCAAATGTATTTTAATAATCTAGAACTACAATTTAATTATATAAATAGGTACACATGTGCATCTACCTAATTGTAAGGCAATATTATAAGGTTTTATTTTAATTGTATTCATACGAAAATGGATAAGTTAAATATTATGTTGTTGCGCAATAATAGTGATGTATTACAAATAAATTAATAAAACAGTAAACTAAATGTAAAGAACTAATTATTTTAGCAACCAAATATTAAGTAGGATAAGAATAGTCTCGACGTTTGATAATGCTCACTCAACAAAATAACTGAATATACCAACTATTAGGTACTCACTTTTATTGCGAAACTATAGCCGGAAATTGTATAATACTATGATTATATAACACAATTTAAAAAGTGTAACAATAATTTACATAAATAACGTACATTCTCCAATATTTGATACTTGCTTTAATTTTTAAAAATATTTTAAACAATTATGACAACATATGAGACATTAAGAATAAGACAACTAGTAAATGAAATATAAATTCAATTTTAAAGTTTTTGTTCCTATAATTAAATTGAACTACTACAAACAATTTTTTTTTAGTAAACAAAATTTAATGTTGTAAGAAGCCATAGACAAAGTTACTAGTTATTTTTAAAGAGTAATCAGATGAATGAAAATAGTTAGGTAATAGAAAATTAGTTATTTAAAAAAAATTTAAGGAAAGAATAAATCTCAAAAAGAAAATCATACGTATAAAAAAAATGGCAAACGATACAAACGAAAAAATCCAATTAAAGTAATAAAAAAATTTAGTAAGTATACGAGTTAAAAAAATTGTGTAAAAAATACGTATATTATTCAATATAGTTACAAGACACTACTAAAAGAAAATAAATAAGATGAAAATATACCGAAATAGTCAATCAATACAAAATTATAATTGTGTACCTATCATAAAACCACGAAAAAACTTTATATATATATCAAGACAGAATGAAATAAAATTACCTACTAAAACTGAAGTATTTATTTCATCTTATTCTAGTTCATCAAGTTTTTCATCATTAACTAGCAAAACAAAAATTGTAATTACAAATATCTCCTAAATTATAAACTGTTTAAAAACAAACAAAAATGATCAAAAATGTTTTCAAGCGTGCAACAAGTCTTACAAGTAAAGTTTACAAAACATATTTTGGTAACCAAACGTATTTCTCGCTGAGGAACTCTATAATACAAGGACAAATGGTAATCATTTAAATAATTAAGAATTTCCAACAATCATACGAAACAATTAAAAAGTAAGCAGACAGTGACAGAGTTATAGACATTTTTTTTATATCAGGAGTAGGTAAAAGCAGATTAAAAATGCAACCATTCGTGTTGTGATTAGATATAGACAAGCAACATACTACACATCGTTGCTAGGTTCTTTCATGATTAATGATTAATAAATAAATGGTTATTTAGTTAAATATCTAACATACTATCTAGTCCACATTTGGTATCATAATTATTTGTTATTTTACGTCTTAACTCGGTATATTAAATTTATAAAAAATTATATTGAAGAACTAAATGTTATCATTAAATTCTTAAATTGACAAAGGTCCAAGAAACACTTAAATTTCAGAGGAAGTTGACAACCTAATTAAAAATTAAGTCGTGTTAAAATTGAAATCCAATGGATTATATCTACCTATCTATGTGCTATGGTTCATTATCATATAAAATTTAATAATAATTGTTATTTAATAACTTGTAACTTAATTACTTGTAAATACACAAAACCTACACTACAATATTTTCATATTAATGTTGTTTTTGGAAAAAAACAGAAAAAAAACTATTGAAGACATTAAGCGAAAAGATAACGGTTTATTACCTATTCCTAAGACTCCAATTTATTGTTATTTGTAAATTTTATTGACATTCCACATTACTAATTATTTAACATCCCAATTTGAAATATTGTCTTGTTTTAAACCTGTTTAAATAACCAATAGATTAATAACCAATAGCAGAATTGTTTTTAAATGTATCCAATTCTTAAGTGTGTCAATCTAACATCTTGCAACAAAAAATAGTTTTTTAATGCATTAAAATAATCAATGAAAACAAATATATTGAATTCAATATTTTTAATGATTTTTATGGTTATTATTTTGATTTTCAAGTATATTTTAATTCATAATGAATTCTATGTCGAATTCCTACGTTAAAAAACCTTCCTAATTCAATAATACGAAAATAAGAATAATATAATACTTTGACAATTTGTTTTACCACGAGTGCTTGTTTTTTTTTAAACCCAATACTGGTAAGTGAAACACCCTATTACATATTATACATATAGGCATTCATTGTAATCAACTAATTATATTCAACTATTAAGTACATATAACGTTATATCTGTTAAAATCTGTTAAAATCATAAATTAATGGTAAAAAACATACACGAAATAAATCAGAACAAAAAATAAACTAAACGTTTTAACAAGATCAGATCAACAATATGTAAACTTCAGTAATCCTAATATTTAATCACAAATACATATGCAATAATTTTATGAACACTGTCTTAGCGCAGTAATACTATCAGGTAAAATCAATTTACACTAGAATTGTTAACATACACCAAGCTTTTATAGAGTTTATTTATTTTATCTCACTTCAGTACTACCTACCTAAATGACAATTATGGTCGTTTTGTCATAGTGAAGTTGAGGCAAACCCAAGAAATATATTTGCAATATTAATTAAACGATAAATACAAATTATTATACATTTTCCTCGATTAAACATATACAATATACCTCAATTATGTTATAAATTCATCACACTCTATTCATCCGAGCATATAGAATACAATTAGTTTTAACTTATTTTATTTATTCCAATTTTAATTGTACACCTAAAAAACTAACATCTGCCTAAAGCTTCCCTAAAAATATTTTTTTGGAAATTTCAACTACACTATCAACTAAAAATATAAATTTTATTTTAATATAATTTAGACTTACTGGAATTATCGCCAACGATCAGCATAACTCTTGGGCCAAAGATCAAAAATTCATAGTAATTTTTTATTTTGCTACTATTTGGGTACTTACGTTATATGATATAAGTATTACCTTCATTAAAAGTTTGGAATCAAGTAATACAATAAATGGAACAGTTTACCTTTTTGATTAATAAACAAGTTTTTTTTAATTACCTCTACAATTCGTTTGAGAGTACATTCAATAGGTATTTATAATAATAAAAATATATGTATTAAATTAAAAAATGTAGGTTGAAATTCTTCAACCAGTTTTATTTCTACTGTTAGATACGTATAAATGACCTTTAAGAATAAATCTATGACATATTTGAGATAAAGATTTAGTATTTATTATTGAACTTTAACGGTTTAGTATACGAAATACAATTATTCTTATTAGTATTATCAGGGCGGAGTAATGGGTAAAATATTTGTTAGGAAATAATAGAGACTATACTAGTTGTAGTAGTTATATAAAGCAATAATTTTAATAAAGAACAAAAAAACGCTAATACAGTGTGTTAAAGCAAACTGCATAAGACAAGTAATAAGAGATAGTCATTGTTTGGAACAGTTACTCATAATTTACATTTTATAATTAGAGTCCGTACAAATTGCTTTCAAAGAATTTAAGCAGATTTACAATATAATTATATTTTGTCAAATGTTTCTGTTATTTCAATATATATGTTTCAGTAAGTAATAAGTAGGTATATAAGAATTGTTATTTGTTGATAAAAAAAAATACATAGCAACGAGAAAGCCTAAACAAATTCAATTACTTAGCAGACTAATAATTCAACATTAACATATGTTATGAGTTTACAGCAACTGATTTGATTTTCACGAGGACCCGTTAATTCTCATCAATTGATTGCTAATAACTTAAACAGATACAAAACGTCCGATTGCATCTAACGATTTTTTTATATATATCCACTTTCGCACCAGCCATAACATAAATATATCTCCGACTCCTATAATAAATTAGTAATGGAAAAATCTATACATTTATATACACATATAACACATTACATGTAGGTAGTGATTATATTACTATAGATAAATGTTATTATTAGTAATGCCAATAGAATTGACAGCACGTTTGTGGGTTATATTTATACCTTAACAACTGTCGATTAAGCACAAGCTCGCATCCTAAGGCCACCTTTCAACAGTGGAATGGTCAAACGAGATAATTTTTGCTCTTCAATTTTCAACACGGCTAACTGTAACTATATACGACGAATAAACAACCTCCTACGAAACCCGAGATTAATTTGACTATAGCAGGGTTTAACTTTGGAGGAAAAGTGCCCACTTGTACGTAAGTAGATACGGTGGTTGGATAGTAAGTATGATGTACGTGTTGATGATATCACAATATTTAAGACCAATCCAATTGGTCAAGTAATTGTGTAATGATTACACCCTCATTCCTCTTATTCTTACTGAAAATAGTTTTAACTTGTATAATCCAATTTATGACGAGTGATAAATAATTATTGAACTTTTTACTTACCTCAAATTACAGCCCCAGCACGCTATCGTCCCACTAGCATTATTACATTAAAAGATCAGATCAACATGTTACTTTACCTCCTGAAAAACATTAATCAATATTCTATATATAAATTGTATAGGATAGATACACCGAAGCCTTAATAGTTTAGTCATAAAGGTTTTGGCAACCAAAGATTTATAAAAACAAAAAAAAAGGTCTATTGTAACCTGTATGGTATTTTCTTACAGTCAAATGTTATTTTAAATCATAAAGTTCCACAATAAATTTACCTTTTGAAATTTGTTTTTCCTTAAGAGTGATCTTATAATAATAGAGGCTACTTCATTTTAAATATAAATTAACATAACTTTGGTACTAAATCAAAATTCATAAAAAGAAATAAAAATAGATCACTTAAAAATATTAAACCAACCATTTTATTATTTTGATCTTTCAAAAAGAATATTATAATATTATTGACCAATATCTCTTGTTAGACAAATAAACTTAAAATTAAATAAATATAATTCTAAATCACATAAATAAGTAAAAAGCACATACCTTTAGAGTACATCCCAAAGTACTGTAGTTATTTCCATGCCTTACATAATTCAATCATCACGATTAAACAAAAATCACATCTGAAAATTGTAAAAACAATTTAGTGTCAGGTGCAAATTTTGTTTAAAAAAAATTATATAATATAAGATGTATTTCATTTTATTTAATTCTTTGTAATAAGAAACCCCAGGACAACCCATACCTCATTTACTAAATTGTATTTTTAAATCAATAATAGCGTAACTTGTTCTACATTTAATCTAAAGAAGTATTATTGATATATATGTATATATGTATATTGTATATATTGTTAAGGAAAATCATATTTTACACAGTCATGATATTACAGTGTGATGCAACATTATGAATAGCATGATTGAACATTACACTTGTTTATCAGCAATAAGTAGGTACAATGTTCAGTTATTGTGTCATAAAGTGTATTAAATGACTCACCAGTCATGATTAACATCATAAATATTTTTTATCGTGGGAAATATGACCGTCATCCAAGTTTCTATTCCAATTAATTATAAAACTGTTAATTCATGTTACAATAATTATCATTTGTATTCGATGTATTGTTTGTATAAAACATAACATTACACCAAGGGGATATTTTTAATTATACATATAGGTTTTATACTAAATAAATGAATTACTGTTGTCATGCTGTTTAAAATTACTGTGTAAAAACGAATTTACCTTGATATTGATTAATTTATCGTACTAAAGTCAAGTGTGCACTTTAATACTTTTAGTACTAAAAAATGTACTATATATATATATATATAGTACACTTTTTGTATAAATCAAAATAATACTATGTATCGTTAATACACCTCTATATTGGCCACTGTTGATGGTCGGACGAGTCCGAAAGTAATAGTTCAAACGAAGCCTCTGATAATTTAGAATATATAATATTTGTTAACTTAATATATGCCAAACATACTTACAATAAGATATTTTGGAATTTTCAAGTATCGAAATTGGCATGGTTGTTATGAGAATCCAGTAGTGCTTCGGTTCTCATTCGTTCAAATATCTTTGAAAACGCACAAACACACACAAGGCCATTAGTATCGTATAAGGAGAAAAACCAAAATGGCCGACGGCCGACGTGGCAAAACGTTTCTTCGACGGGAATAAAAATGTTCAATACAATATTAAGCGTGTATACTTACAAAATGTTGAACGAATTTCATGGGTGGCGAACCGCCGTCGTCACTGGCCGTGTAAGGCGATGCTTGAAATGCAAAATTGTCCATGGCGTTGAGAGAAATTTGAACTGTTCAAAAAAAAAAGAGAGAAATCAGCACACGACCTCACTACTGCAATGAGTGGATGGCAAATGAAGGCAATATGGCCGCTCGCAGACGTCCTTTGTGCCTGGTCGACGGCACGGATGACGTGGAGAGAACATTCTAGAAACAACGCAGTACGTGGCAACGATCAATATTTAATAGTACCTACGCAGCTGCCGTGAGGCCCTTTTTAGGTGAAGTGGTAGACACAGCGGTGGGGACGTATTGTTTGCCGTTCGGGTAGTGAGCCGCCGTTGTCAGAGGAACAAAATACAAAACATACATATTAAAATATCAGCAATGCAGGGGCCCGAGCTGGGTTCGACGAGTTGTAACTGGCAAAATGCAAATATCGTTGAAGGCCATCCGCCGCAGCTGCAATACATATTATACATATATTTTCAACGCTCTTCGAACCGTGACGGTTTTTTCCAAGGACCAAGGCATAATTTCAAAAATCTATGCTGGACGATCACGTCGGGTCGTGCAATGTTATAGCAATATTCAATATACTCGTACATTATCCGACCGTCTTCCAGTTAGCAAAAAAATTAAACGTCTTCGAAATGCTATTTCTTGTTATTTTTATTTTTTAGAATAAATTAATCGCAGATATGGCACATGTCCGCCATTTTACAAAAATCGCATTTTTACATTATTAAATTTAATATTGATAATTACATGGTTTTTGTGCAAACGGAGCACATGTCCTATTTTTCGTACTAAATTTTAATAAAATAAAATATTAGTGACTCATTATCATCAAATAAACTACTGTAGATCATATTAATGTTATTTTAATATTTGGTAATAAAAAAGCTACTTATTTATAAGAAAATGTTATATTCTTAGTAATTTGACGCATGAACGGCACAGGTCCAAAACACCTTAAAAACTTTTAAGTACCTAGAGTTTTATAATATTTCTGCAAGTGGTTATGGAACCATGTATGTACATCATACTAAATTATTTAACAACATACAATTTCCAAATCAATATTTTTCAATTAATAAGGTTTTTTGTCTCTCCTGGAAAATTTTAAAATTTGGGCATGTGCCCTTTCTGTATTGAACGATTCAAATATTAAGTTAAGTTGATTTCGACCTGACCCGATAGCAATCTAGTAAATTATTTATCAGTATACTGTTTTAATACCGATGGTTATAATTAATATTTATTTATATATTATAATTATTATAATCAACTTTTATTACTTTTTTTTACCGAACAATGGTTTTCGAGATTTACGAATTTTCGGATTACGGTCAAAACAAAACCAAAATTATACTCAAATTAATTGGTCTTGGACACACTTAATCAATTATTTTTCGCCTGTTTTTTGCTACGCATCTACGGTTAGCTTAAATAATAGGCAAACAAATAGCACACGTTATTCTTATCATTAGTCATAAACTTAGGTATAAAATTATTATTATTGTCTTCCGCGCTTAAAGTCCTAAAACTTCGAAGTATAGATAATAGAATAAGTATTATTGTCGCAAACAAAAACGTTTAACAAGACTTGTTAAACGTTGAAGACTGAAATTGGAAAAAACCTTATTAAACCTTAAAAACCTTGTTCAACCCAATTTACGTTATTAAATATCATCATCATCATGTAGCTTAACGGGCCATGAAGGCCCAACGCTGCCATCATGAGATGGTTTCTTGACGAATTCGCTTCCGGGACGGGTCGTCAATCCGTCGCCGGAGAGGGGGATGGCGGTTCCTTTTTACCGGACGATTGCTCGCCCAGCAAACGGAGCGCCTGTGACCGAGTGTCGAACCGGCGACAGTGAGCGCTAACACACTGCCGCCTTACCCTACTTGGCCACTCCTCCTCTATTATTAAATATGTAATTGGATAACTAATGAAAAAATTGATGGTTATTTAAACGGAAATAAATGCTTTATTTGGTAAAAAAAAATTGTATATTATTATTATTATTATTATCATCTTAAACAAAAAAAAAAAAAAGATTATTTTTACAATAAAATCATTTAGATTTTAGTAAACTTTGCTCCAATACATTTTTTTCTTATTTATTAACAACTATAAGATCCTTTCTTCTACTCCCTCGCTACTACTTCTTAAGAAAAAAGAGCTGCATATTTTTCCTCGATTTCGTTAACCAGCACAATAGATTTTAACTTGACTTCGTTTATACCTTTTATGGGTAGCTTTTTTACTGTTTTAGCCAAACTTTTAAAAAAGAGATCAACCTCGTCATCTTCTTTTCCTACGTTTAAAATGTGTTCATTTAGCTCTTTAATTTTTTCTATATTTTTACTTCTTTCGTCTGTTTTTTTGGCCAATAAAACAGATAAATTATCCGTCTTGGAGCGCACAACTGAACCTCCTGATATGTCCTCGTTTGAGATGGCTGATTCTTCATTAATGTCTAGATTATCCTTATTATCCTCATTATTATCATTACACATGTTAGACGTAGAACTAAAAAAATTATAAAATTAATTCTAGCGATTGGTCTAGTGCAGAAACAAAAAAAAAAGTCTACCTTCGCTCGTATTCAACGGTGTTCAAAAAAGAAACACGATCTGCCGAAGCCCGTTTTTTTCTGGATGGTTTTCCTGTTCTTAGTTTACGCTTGGTCCTGTTATGTGTATCTTTGATATTTTTCCACTTTTTTTTGCAATCGTCAACTAAAAAAAAAAAATTTTTCATCTCCCTTTTTGAGAATAATAAATCATGGATATGTTTTTAGCTTACCTCCCTCCCACCCCCTGCCCTTTCTTTTCCTCCCCTTCTTACCTCCCATCCAACTCGCGGGAACCCGAAAAGTGACTTTGGAATGAAACCTCAGTCTAAAAAATATATTCATGTAAAAAAATTGTTTTTCATTATATTTTTAACATAAAATGACCGATAATAAAACAATTTTTTTTTGTATTTAACAATGACACCCCATAGGAGTAAAGAAGTAATACAAATACAATATTTTTATGATATAAATATACAATTTTTATATTAAACAACGAATCGAAATTATTATATACAAATTACATTGACTTAGAACGTTGTGCACTCCGGACTATAGATAGTATGTCATTTTTTCTATTCAGGACAATCTATATTGTCTCTTAATAACTTACAAATAAATAATGTAAAAATATTTGTTTAGCCTAACATCTACGAAGAGTTGTCTATTATTATCAATAAGCGTTTGAACACGAAAAGCTGTGCATTTCTTATTAATAAAAATAGTTACGTACTCCGCTACCCCTAGAGCAATACCTAGTTTTTAATTTCTAACCATTCGATAAACATTAAAATTATTTAAACTAAGTTCATGATCAGAGATAGTATTACATAACCAAGTGTCTGTTGGCGCAAAGAAATCATAATTATTTAAAATAGGAATATCACAACTTAAAGTACTTATCTAACTTAGTCCGCAAGCCTATCAGTAGACTAGGGTGTAGTTTTAAACGAATTTTTTATCAATTCTTTTTTTATTGACTTAACTTAAAACCCGTGACCACCGCCTAGACTGTAGCCTGCAAACCTAGGATATTTTCGATTTATCAGAGCGAGCGAATCAATCGAGTGCCCCACATCCGGTGACCTGCCGTTCGAGTGAGTACAAACTCTGCACACTGATAAGAAACTGGTCTGATAAAAATTCGTTTGAACTACTCCAGGCTCCGGACACTTCTGTGATATCACGGAATCAATCCGCAATATTTTCGGAGGACAAAATTTGATATTATCGATATTTATATAATATGTATATATGAAAAATATTTTCCCTCCGAGAATTTGGCCGACTGATTTTGCGGGTGGCATAATATGCTACCCACAGATATATATAATAAAATAGCGATAAGAATTGAAGCCGACGGTCCGCCATTCTGGTGGGATTTATGTGTGTTATCAATGCATATAATATATATCTGTATATATTATTATATCAATAATATATTTATATATATATATATACACTATTATAAATATATTATTAATAATCGTTTCTTTACTCTCGACGTGTTATGTATAATATTATGTTCTATGATGATGTGTGGGTAGGCAATTGTGTCATGTTTTTGTTATTCTTTTCTTGTAGGTATATATATTAACGTGTTAGTTAATCTATACTTACTAGGCTTGCCTATTTTTGAAGCAATTTTTTTCCAGATATGATCTTTGTAGATGATGTCCTTATATTTTGCATCAGAGACATCATAAAGGACAGGATATGTCCTTACTTCCTCTATCAACATCTCCTCTTGTTCTGGCAAAAATTTTGTCATGTCGCCGGCGACTGTCGCGATACACTGCTGTGTAGACGGTGTAGTGTCGTGGGTCGCGGCGACAAATAAGCCGCCGAGCGCTACAGTCGCGCCCAAGAGACCAGTCATTAGGGAACGCAAGTAAGTCGGTCAGATCACGGATCACGACAGTCGCAGCGACCGGTCGGCGGTCGCGGCGACGTCGTGTCGCACCTTGGATACCGTACACAGTTTGTCACTGACAACCTCCTACAGAAACCAATAACCACAGGCATATTGACTATACTTTACCATATTTGAAAGTTGTTTTTAATTAAAACTATTATTTCATAGACTACCTACATTTCTGTTAAATAAATCAATACCGGCCTGTAAGCATAATTTTTCTACTAACACATATAATATTATATCAGAGAAAGGTGTACTTCAAAATAAGTAAAAGTTGATTCGATAACAAAAATAACATGGCTATGAATAATATATACACTTTAACGTTCACTGCGGATGACGCCAATTGTCGTTATTAAACATAGTTCCCATATTATGCGGATGACGTCAATAGGCGTCATTGACACCTTATTTTCAATATTTTACAATAACTAAGTCGGCGCCAAGTTTAAATAAATCGTTTTCCATCAGCGTTATCAACAAAATATGTCAATTAATACATACGTACATTCGTAAGTCGATATTCCTGTTTTTAGACCATACTCAGTATGGTCACGACAGTTGAACAGTCGAGACCACTATCGCCCTGAAGTCAAAATTTAAAAAAGGCGAATCCGTTTCAAGGTATTGCCAGGGTGTTATAATATAGAGAATAGGAGAGACAAAAGAGATGTGTCTTATATTTCATCAGAATTTCAAAATCATATGGTCCTTACTAAAAACAGAAACGGCAAGGAACAAATGAAACCTGAGTCTATTGCAAATTATAACCGTTTATTAAAATTAAGCTTACTAATAATAGTGTAATAAATTAAGTTTTTTTGCTATAACATTTTTGTATTTTAATTAAAAACAAAAGAATTGTTTCATATTATGTCATTGAATTTGTTTCATTGTTAAAAAATAATAAATATGATCTAGATAGTTAAATAATAAATTTAAATGCATTAATTTAGTATAATATTTTTTTAGTCATGACGCCGTTCAGCGTTCAACAGCATCTGACTAAATATTTGTGTGAGGATTACTCAAATAATAATTGGCGTTAATAAAAAAAAAGCCTCATTTTCTTCGGCACATGTGAACATATTAATATACACAAATATGATCTGAAGTAGACGTGTGAATGTATGATAACGATTATGGCCGTTATGATTATAAAAAATGTCCAAAGGATTTAAAACACAGCCTGATGAGTAGATTACTACTGGTTGAATTTAAAATAAGCACAAGAGAATACTGTTTACCCGAAATGTGTGTAATTCATATATTTTGTTGACACTGTTGCACTCGGTTTGAAATGAATAAGCCGCAAGGGCTGTGCAGAACAATACCATGTCTTATTAACCATATCATATTGTCTACAGACTACATGTATACACAGCTGTCATAATGATAATAGCTGTGTAGCCGTAGGCCGTATAGTACGAGTATATTAACATATTGTTTTTGTTATTAAGTATTATAACACATTATATATGTTAGTCAAAAGTAAACTAAATAATAAACCATGAAAAAATTCTCTGGAATTTTGATTCCCAAGAGGCAAGAAAACATATTTATAAGCAAATTATCTTTCATAATTTATAGTGTTCTAAAATACAAATTATATCACAAAAAATAAAAACCAAGTTTTCAGTTCTTAAAATATAAAATTTCTATAACAACATTATTTTCAAAATACTAAAAAAAATAAAAGAAACACAAATGTTTTTTATTTATCTGTATGGTAATTTTTCCAGATATCATTTAAAACAGAAACTAGTCAGTTTTGTTACTACCTACTCGTGTATGCAATGACATATTTTTATTTTATAAGCGGTGCCTAGCAAGTAAGCATGTAATATGCATGTGCGAACTGCGTTTTCTAGTATGGCTTGGAAATTAGTTAGCAACAAAATCTTTGATACTATTATGGAAACAATAAAACTATTTGTTTTGAAATACATAAACAAAATGTTTTGCGAATTGCAGCAATGTTATGTAAACAGTAAACACAGGTCAGTTGGAATCGAATTGTCAATTGGATTGTGAGAGTTTAGGTTTTGAACTATATTAGGGTCTATAATAATACACATTGTGCTGTATTTTTTGTGCACTGTACCTACTTTTACTGTATGGTCTGCTACGTTTAGGTATTTTCAAGTTCCAGACTAATGATTTTGTCATTTTGTAATATAAAAACCCCGATAATAATGTTACAGAGAATGGAGTTCTAGATTTAGCTATTACTACGAGTCATTAGGCTAATAATTGCTGCAATCGTCGACTAATCGATTGTTGCTGGAATCTTTTAAAAAAATTTCTTTTAACGGAATCCTTCGAACAAAGTAAAAATACTGGTTGCTCAACGCACTTTAAATGATTTTGACCAAAAACAGCAAAATGAAAAAAGCAACATACTATGCTTGGTTTTTGACCAAAACACATTTTCCATACAATATGTAAATTAATTAAATCTAGATGCCAAAAATTATAACCAAAATTAAGGACGTGAAATACTCATTGCCTTTAATAACATCTTCAAATGGAACTAGAATTAAAATAAATATGTATACCTAGGTACTATATGAGCTTTTGTAATTTGACCCTTTAATAATAAAATTATTGTTACAAACCTACTAGGCGTATGTACCTATGTTTATAAAATTGATTTAAGACAATAAATGTATAATTCCTTAGATAAAACAAAAAGTTATAATTTATTATTCTAAATAATCCGAATTTGATAAAATCCGCAGTTATTCCCCTCACTAATCCCTACAGTCGTTTTTAGGGTTTTTCGGCATTCATTAAGAAGTGTCACGATAAAATTTTCAATTCTTTAACAAAGCCACCTTGAAGACAATCAAATTATACTCAATGTCTAAACTCTTCTTAATTATACTGAAAATAATGCTAAGTATGGAAAGCAGCTATTTGGCTCATTTTTTAAACATTTGTTAGTTTTGTGTGGTCAATTTGACAATTTTTAGATTTGGATAGTAAAGTAAATGAAATAGGTAAATACAATTTTGTTTTGTCAGGTTACAGAAGATATTGTTGTTAAAGTAATGTGTTTGTACTTAGTATTAGTGAACTTTGTTGTAGTAACGAAGACAGCAAATTTTTAAGCATTTTACAGATGTTTTTAAACTACATTCATTCCCTTTGGACAGTTGTTTCATGAGTGTTGTAATAATACATTTTACCTAACATACATATACTAGAACATTACAGATACCAAATCAAATATCTCCTGTAAATGTTGTCACGGGTATCAATAATATACTGTACTACCCACTAAACGTCGACAGTTCTAGTGACAAGAAATTTGATCTTAATTTGTTATCATCATACAACATATAATACATAAACATCTCTATTTATTCAGTAATGTTTTTTTGTATCACGTAGTTAAAATTAAATAAAAAATGATTAAATAACTTAAAATATTTCATACATAAATTAGTAAATTATAATATAAGCTAATACAACGGAATCATAATAACACTAAACTCAAGTGTTAAATCTTGCTATAACTAACAAAGAGACAAAAAAAATAGGGTTTTATAAATAAAGCCTTGAAATTAAAAGAAGATTTTACTGATTATATTTTAATAAAAAATAATTATATAATATACACAAATTGTAATTTATTAAATTGGAATAATGCATTAAAAGTTTTTAATTTATGTTTAGAAAAAATCGCATGGTACTCATAAAAAACAATGTATTGTATGAACAAGTTCATCTAAGGCGTAGTCTTCAGTCAAAGTAAGTTTGTTTAATGGTAATACCAATGATTTAAGCATTTTTCTCTTTGATGGGTCCAATTTTGAAATAACAAGTCCAATTTGTTGAGCGATGGAGCTAGACACTTCAGTTTTAATCATTCTATATATGTACAAAAAAAAAAAAAAAATGTAAATAATAAATTACTTAACCTAAAAATATGTTGGTTTTCAGTTGTTTAATACACAAGCGGTAATTCTAAAATTGCAAGGTTTTAATAATTTTAGTATTAATGCAAATACATTTTTCAACGTGAAATATAATATAAATGTGTGTAATTTAATGGACAGAGATGTGTAATATATTATACATTGTTCACAACTAAGATTTAATAATCAATATAAAAGATAATTTATCCTTTAGCCTTATAATGATAACCATTACCTTTCTTTGACTGTGTTTTCAGAAAAACTTGCTACTCTTTCACACAATGATACTACATGTGATATAAGTCTGTCAGCAGACATTTTATTCAATTTTTCACTTAGTTTTAGATATTCTAGGATGGTCAAACTATCTTGTAAAGTCGTTGGTACAACACCGTCTACTTTAGAACCATCAATTAACCAACTTAATAAATGTCTTAACTTAGATTTACCATCTGAAATTTTAACAAACATTAATTGTATACAAATTATTACCGTTATTGGCCGAGTAGAAATTAATTTATATCTAGTACCTTTTTGGAGTAAATAATAAGAGAGTAAATGGCCAACAAGAATGTTATGAGCTTCTTGCCATTGTTCAGCTTTTAGGTAACAAGTTGCTGCTTCATAGTATCTAAAATTATAATAAACATAAAATAAACTCATCAACAAAATTTAATAAACAACCTCAAAGTGCACTAAATAATAAATAAAATATTAAAATAAATCTTACAAAAATAATTTTCTAAGCTTATACGTATTTCGGCGTCAATGTTACCACCAACAGCCCATACAACAGACTAAAACTGATTACAGGCAAACACCTCCCTTTATGCATATACAGCGACGTCATACCGGGAATTATCATTGTGAAAATGTGTTTTTACGAATTTTAATAAAATATTTTATAATAGACTCAAGTCCCCGTTTAACAAATTGTTCCCATTTTTCAACATTCCTACTGATAATGGTAACATGGCTGCCAAAATATGTATACGCTATTAAGAATTATTTTTGTGGTTAAGGGTTTATTTAAATATTAAATCATTATATAATATATGACCACAAGTGTTGCTAGAGTTTTTTCTAAATGATAAATGCTAAGCGTACCTTTTTTGCGACTTGGCCAGAATGGCTTTTGCATTATAAATGACTGCTTCTTTGACATGCAGTTTTACTACTACAAATTCCTCTTTAACATTAAGTTCAACTGTTTCTTCAACATTACTACCAATTATTTCTTCTATAAGGTTTCCTCTCCTAAAACGAAAATATTTCTTTTCATCAACGTTGTTCTCATGATAATGTATTTACATGAATTCTTACAGTTCATTGTCCTTAATATGCATAAGAACAAATACAGCCCAATGCCACAAACCATGTGATGAAAGTTGTGAAGCAAAGTTCATATGCAGCTGATTGGCATAAGGTTCTGACATTTGTGTATAACCTAGTGATTGTAATGTGTTAAATAGCAGCCAACTAAAATTGTAATCTAATGGATCACGCGTATGAGTGAGAGGATTCACAATTTTGTACACATCATAGGCTGAATTAGTATACAGTTTCATCAAGTGATAACAAACATCATACGTAGCAAATGGGTCATTGATTATTTCTGACTCTGCAATATTGTTTCTGAATGGTTTACAAGCATAAGCATCATCGCCTTCAAACGCATTTTGGTAGGCGTCCAATGCTTCTCCTATAGTACCAGAAGGAGGCTTTATATACCTGTAAAAAAGGAATAGTAAATACATATAAATCAAAACAGTCAGTATGTAAACAAGGGTTTAAGCAGCCCAAATAGGGCCTTGGCTATATAATCTCTCAGAAAAAAGATTTTCTGAAAAATTTGCTATCCAAGAGTCAATCATCAAATAAATTTAAAAATAATAATAATATTAATAAATAAAAAAAAACATACCATAAATGTAATGCAAAGGCTCGTATCCAATCCATATTTTCACATATGTTTATTATTCCTTGATTAGAATCAAATAATGGCTGTCCTGACACTATAGTATACAATTTAAGGTGGTCAATATCAATTAACAAGTCAGCTTTACTTTCATACCATTGCCAGAGCTGTCGTTCAATACAACATCTGACAGAATTTTCACTGCCCAATTGGGCCAGTAGCAAGGCCAAATTACATTCATCTAAAAATAATTAAAATAATTGTTTTAGCTCGTATGAGATCAGTTTATTTTAACGATGGACATACTATTCGATATTGCCAAGTCACAAGCTTCCATGATTTTATGTGCTGAAACTAATTTTAAAATTCTCTGAGATACACTGTCTCCGGCGTTTTTAAAATTAATTTTTTTTTCTAATAGAGTTTCCAGCCAATCAGATATGGCTTGACGCCTTGCCATATTGTATATATGCTCTTGTGGACAGTCTTTAGTGTACAGATTTTCTGGGTCACCCCATAATGATTTGATCAATTCCCAAACATGGGAATAGCGGTCTTCTTCTGGCAATTCCGAAAATTGAGCTAACAAACAACAATGTGAGTGTAGACCATCGACTCCAGATTTAGGATAAAAAAAAGGTATGTCAACACCATCAGTATTAAAATTACTATGCTCCATACAAATTTGTAAGTGCTCTGTCAAAAGTTCCTGGAATTTTAAAACAATAAAATCATATATTTTTAATGTAATAAGCAAATATTTGATTGATAAATTAAATATTTTTAACTAACCACAAATGTTTCTGTTTGAGCAGGGGTCACAATTTTAACTTTCTGAATTACAGTAGGAGAGTAGTCATCATTGCTACGACCTGATAAATCTGTAGCTACATAACTAATATCTAATCCTTTTGTAGGTAAAAATCCTCTCTTGGACTTTGTATTGAGAGTGACAAACGTTAAATTATTTGACCAAGGTACTTTAAACGATAAAGTATTCAGTAAAGCCAACTTAGTAGATTTTTTAGTATGTTTTAAATTTAATTCAAATGGCATTCGTATGCTTGCATCATATTTTAGGCTATGCCGCTGGGCTTGTAGCTGTTAATAAAATTCAAATGATAATTGATGAAGTATTAATACAATATTTAATAATTTTACGCAATAAGTAAATTCATATAATAAAAACTATTTTTTAATTTTTTAACCTAACTAAAAAAATTAATATAAATCCAAGATACAGGATTTTATGAGTAAATATATCTTACTGGGGCAATTAAAACAGGATTTAAAGCTTGAGAAGACTGAATAGTTTTTCTTTCTAAAAATCAGTAAAATATATATATTACATAAAATTACTTAAAATTATCTGATCTTTACTAAAATAAGGGATATAGTAAAAATTACTTTGTTTTGTGATGAAAAATGTTGGTGAGGCATGATTATCTGTCGATGTCAATACAGACTTAGTTCGAGAACCGTCTTTCTTGTTTGGACTGACTATAAAATCTGGAATAGTCTCTAAAATTTTTTCCAATTTTTCAAATTTATCTTTTGCACCTATTTAATTTTTATATTACAGGAACAAAATTGTACATTTATTTTTAGGAATGATTTACATAAATTGTTATTGACAAATTCCTTACCATAACCGTCTTCGTCTTGATCCATTGGTTCAATTTCATTATAAAAAATATCATCAAATGAAGCCTTCATGCACTGTATTTTATGAGCTTGTAAATTCATATTTTGAGAAAGTTGAGCCGTTACATTAATACTGTTTTCCTTATTGTTATCTGTAATTTTAATTTCTTTTACTAATACTATTTAAAAAAGGTGGGTAAGAGTGTTAATTTGTTTGCGATAATTAATACAATTCTTCAGTTCACCTACCACACCAACTATAACCATAAACGTAACTATTATTTTTTGTGCAAAAATAGATATTTGGAAAACGCTGCCCACGTACCAGTTTTAATCCAATATTTAAGTTAAGGGGTGAGGCAAACATGGATATGTTTTAGCTTCCCCCTCCTATCCTTTCCTTACCTTGGTGTTTTTTTGGTTGAAATTTGTCAACTAAATAATGCCACTATAATAAATACAATAAATAAAATACTGCATACCATAAAAACGTGTAACATGGGGATCTTCATTCAATGCTAATGAATCAACATGCATACTTTGATTGCTTGGCATCATCAAATATTGAGTTGTAGTCTGAGTTCGATCTAGACCAGCTGTAAGGTCTAACAATGGTTTATTAGCCTGTTGACAAAAAACAGTTTTTTAAATAATTTAATTATTCTACCAACATTTAATTTTTGTCTTAATTGAAGAAACAATTAAAATTCATACTTACAGTTTGCTTAGGACTTCCATTCTCTGCAATTGGTTTTGAAACCTTAGGTTTAATTGGAACTGATTTTGGCTGTATTTTGTTAGGATCGACATTGGTTACTTCTTCATTTTCATCTTCTTCATCAGAATCGATCAGTGCATACTTTGAAAAATGATCAACACTAAATACCCACGAACCAGTATCTGAACGATAATCAACAAAATGAGCGCCCATTTTTCCACTAGCTCTTTGAAGTTTGGCAACAAAATTAGTAGCTGAAATTCGATCAGGGCATGTTATTGGTTGTTTTGTAGTTTTATCGTTAGGCCAAACTCGATCCAGTGTTACAGTAGCTTTCCTGTTGAGGCCTACACCTAAAGGAGGCTTGTTTTCATCATCTTGATAAATAATGACTTCCCGATGTCTAATATGAACTAAAAAAATAATAATAATACAATCATTGTTTCAGAATAATATTTATACATTAATAGTGAAATATAAGATTAATTATAAATACCTATTGAATCCAAATCAAGTCCGGCAACGTTGAAGCGATCAGGAAAAAATACATTTCCATAGTCATAGCGGCCAATAGTAAAACCATCAACAAAACATGCTCCGTTTTCATCAACTAAATCAGCCAACTCATTCATAGGAGGAATTGTATAATATCCAATACGTCTCAATTTAATTCCAGTACGGTGATCAGTTTCAGGAGTATTTGGATCAATACTTGGTTCTTGGCTGTTTGTTCCTAGTTCTGTAAAAAGAGTCAACAAAAAAAATGTTTGTATAAATGTATTTCTTCATCCTGACCTAGGGATTAAAAATTATATACCAATATTTTGGAAAACATCATTAGTCTCAGTTCCTTTGGAGGTATTTATATTAGTTTGTTTATTACTGTGTAATTCAGCTATAGTATTATTTTCATCATTAATTGACAAGTCGACTTTTTGTGTATTATCTGAAGAAGTTCCTTGTTTAGCAGAGAAATAGTTTTCTAACCTACAATCACACATGGTAATAAAATAATTTTAAGATAAACTAAACAAATTTATATTTATGTAAAATTATATTTACTTTGCTAATGGTTTAGTATGCATAATTATGCTGTTGCCAGATTTTAATCTACTGTTATCACTATCTTTCTTTAAATTGAGTTTTTTATAATTTGTTCTTGGCGAAGAGACAATAATTGACCTATCACTTATTTTTTCTTGACTGTTCAGTGTGGGAGGCGACTCCTCCAGGCCATCAAATAAAGATTTACGATTAAACTGTGGGAAGTTCCTGCGTACTTGTGGTATGCTTTTAGGTGTTGGTATTGGTGACACTTTATAACTGCTAAATTTGTCAAGCGATACATTTTGTGATCTGACAACAGAAGACTCATCACCCTTTGTTACATCCTGTAATTAAAAAATATAGGTTATATAGAGTTCATTACTAGATAATATATTAAAACTGAATTTAAAAAATGTAACTAAATTATATTATATTTGTATTATTAAGTTACTAATTCATAACATTAAATCATGTATAATTCATAAATAATTTGAATTAAGTAATAATTTGGTTTTTAAAATGTAGATACCTTATAAAATCGTTTAAACAATGGTGAATCGCCATAAGGCATTGCTTTTAAAGTTTCTAGTTGCATTTGAAATTGATTGTTTTGCGAAGCTTGATTTGTTGTTAATTGTGGGTTATTAGTACTAAAAAAATAACAGATCATATTATTTTAATAAATTTAAAAAAAAATCCCTTTAAACTTACCCTCCAAAAAGGCCAATTCCACCAGGCTGCTGAGTATTGCCAAAAATTGATGTTCCACCTGTTCCAAAAGTACTAGTGTTTGTCGATCCAAAAAGTCCTGTGCCTTGTGTTCCCTGACCAAATATACCTCCCGGTTTTGCAGAGTTATTAAAAACTCCTAAAAAAAAGAAAAAGAAAGGAAGTATACAAAAATAACAACTATTTGTGTTCATGCACAAACCTGTTTGGACATTATTGGGTTGACTAAACAATGATGTAGTTGGTGCTTTATTAAATGTATTAGCACCAAACAAGCCGCCAGTAGCTGGTTGGGCAGTTGATGTAGCCCCAAATGCATTACCGAACGCTGGTGTAGTTATTTGAAAACCTGTATTAGCTGGCTTATTACCAAAAAGACTAGCACCAGTAGTTGATGTGTTTGTTCCAAAACCAAAACTAGTGGTAGTATTCGATCCAAGGCCAAAGGCTGGTTTGTTTTGGTTAAATAAATTGTTCTACAAGAACATAATGCGTATTATAATTACATTATATATAATACATATATGTTAAGTGTCACTGCTGCGCAAGCTAGAATATTGAATTTTATGTTTTGCGCAGCTGTGTTCTCACAAGGCTTAAAGTATAACTATTTTAAACTCTTTTATTGTTAATTTAATACCTGATTGGATTGTGCTCCAAATGCAGTTTGACCAAATCCTGTCGATGCTCCGAATGTAGTAGGAGCTGTAGTCCCAAATATGTTTGTTTGAGGAGCAGCCACTTTGGACAAAGTTTTGTTAGTACATTAAAGTTAGGTTAAAATATAATGCTTAAATAATACCTCCGAATGGCTTAGATGTTTGAGCTGTATTTGCTCCAAAAATACTTGGTTGAGCAGCATTCATACCAAATGATGATGTTGATGTTTGGGCACCAAAAGCTGGTGTTGTTTGTTGAGGTTTACCAAAAATACTATTTTGCGCACCAAAAACTGATGTGTTAGTATTCCCAAATGCTAAAATAGTTAATGATAATATTTAAATTATTGGGTTATTAATTCATTTAAATTTATAAAATATATAGCTCAATATTGTTCTTGATGAGTTAACATGGAAGCTGTGCAAAACAATACAGTCGGGAAAATAAATTTCTTTTAGGGATGACCCAGTGAGAACTAGATAAATATTTCTCTACAAAGCTCTTTTATAAATCATAAGCAGCCGAATCTTAAAAGTAATAGCACTATGGAAAAAAAATGCTATTACACTATTGAAAGGTGATAGAACAATATTAACTTGCAATTAAAAACAGTTTTAGGAAAAATACTTATAAATCATATGAATAATAGTTTTAAATGTTTAAGTTGAAAAAAAAATGTATAAAGAGTAGTGTTAGTGCGTAACTTTTAAAAATTAAATGGCAACATACATAATTTATTAGTTAATTAAAACCATAGCGACATCATGAAAATAATGACTAATTGATACCAGGTTTTATCATTTACCTAGTTGTGCCCTTATTGTATATATATTTAATTATTGAATGAAATTATTATATAAGAACAATGAATAAAATTATACTAATATCCATAGATTAAACATTTTTCTGAGTTACATATCTACTTTTTTAAGCCATAGATGTATATTTCCTACTAGGTAAACAGGTCATTAACTGATAGTTTATCGAACCCTTTTTGGTTTAATTTAAATATATGAATGTATACAATTATCTTTATGATGGATAATAATACAATTTTTTTTCATATAACACCTGTGTATTCCTACAGATTGGGCCACTCCGGCTGTCAAAATATACATTACTTGATTTTTTTTATACAAAATTGTAAAAAATGTGTAATGGGCTAAGCAAAATGTAGAAAAATAAAAATACAAAAAAATATGGTAAAATTAGTTATACATGATACTCTTAATAAAAGCAGATATTAATATTAAGTAAATTTATCATCACTTTCTCTTCATTGACATAAATTCTTATTCTTCCCTGCCTTATCTCAGCCAAATTATTTATCGCTAATTTTTATTTGTCACAATTGTTTTATCTACTGCACATACTACCATCATTTTATTATTCATCGCTATGTCTCAAATAGAAATTAAAAAATTATGGTTCAAGTTTTAAAATACCATTTTTAAGCTACATTACCTCCAAGAGCAGGAGTAGTTGTTGTTGCACCAAAAAGTGGTTTATTATCAGTAGATCCGAATAATCCAGTGCTAGTAGTAGCTGTAGAACCAAATAATGTCTTATTAGGTGGCCCAAATAATCCACCTCCTACTGCACCCTAATTAAAAAAAAAAAAAAAATAGAATACATGAGTGAACTAACTTTTAAGTTCATTCATTTACATTTTAACTTACCTGTTGTCCAACTTTTCGATTAGCACAATAGTCTTCAAATCTAAGTTCCTCAAATATTTTATTTTCATACTCTTTCATAACAGTAACAGATTGGTGTCTAGTGTTAATTGTTTGATTAACACCATTTTTGACCATTGTATCAGTACCAGTTACAGGATTAAATTTGATTGTAGTACCACCAGCAGATTGAGCACCAAATCCTGTCGCACCACCAAAAGCACCTAAAATATTTTATAGCTTTTATAAAATAATGCAATGAGAGATATTTATATAAATTGTACAAATCTAATAAATTTAATCAACTACAAATAATACATTTGTCAGTAGAATTTGACTCCACGGCTCAGGTTGTTAGCCTACATCTATTTAGAAATATATTTGTACATTTTGTACAAAATATTGATTATAATAGATAAAACTATTGAATTTTAAAATGAATATTGAATAAATTTACAAAATAATAATTTTTATTTTCTTTACTTAAGTTTCATAAATAATTTTGTTTTTAAAAAAATTGTAACTAAGAAACAAACTATGTTGACTATATGTATTAAATAATCAGTGCTCGAATTGGAAAAAATAAAAGTAGAGGGACTTTTTTACTTGAAACAAAAAAAGCGTACCCAGAATTTTTTTATAACCCTAAAAAACCACCACTTATAAAAATTAATAGGAATACACTACAATTTCTGATTAAATAGATAGGGTACTCAGTACCCCCCTCTCCCAATTTGAGCACTGGAAATAATAAAAATAACTACCAGCCGATGGTGCTCCAAATATTCCTGTTCCGGTTGTACTTGTTTGAGGCGTTCCAAAAATGTTACTAGTTGGCTGTGTAGTAGTTCCTCCAAAAGAGAACCCTGTAGCAACTGGTTTTGCCTGACCAAATGAAGCATTAGCATTTGATGAACCAAACAATCCACCACCAGGATTCCCCACCATTGATGCATTTTGTTGACCAAATAAGCCACCACTCGGTGCAGTAGATGCAGCTGGCGTTCCAAAAAGTGATGTACCTCCAGAACCAAAACCTGTAAAATTGTTGATTCAACACAATAACTACACACACACACACTAGTATAATATACAAACTACAATCAAAACTTACCTCCAAAAGTCGGTTGAGCTGTCGGTGTTTGGCCAAAAGCAGGCGCCCCTGGTGTAGATCCAAAAAGACCTGTACTTGGCTGAGTGGTTTGATTGAACAAAGACGTATTCGTCTGCCCAAAGACCGCTGGGCCTGCTGGTTTACCAAACGCTGACTGACCAAAGCCAGATGGGTTGCCAGCTCCCCCAGAAAAAGCTCCCGATCCCGAACCTTAAGAAGAAAAAAAAATTCACTCATGTTTTTATGGATATTAGTAGTGTAGTAGTTTATATAGTAGTGTATTTCATAATGAAGACAATGCTTGATAAGAACATTTATAATTTTGTATTTACATTACACGCCACCAACATGTTATAATTTGGATAAAATGAAAATGCAGTATTTATTTCACTTACCAAACATTATGTTTTTACAATATTATAATCTAATACGCCTCTTGTGAGTAAGATGTCATGTTATTATTATTGTCATCGAGCACCGAGAAGACGTTATTTTGTCACGTTTTGCACTAAGTAAAACAGAGAAACACTAAAAACTACGTTTTCTTTTTCCGCGGTTCGGTCATTTAGAGCTAGTTTCAGTGCGGTCGAATCGAAAAATTGACCGTATTCGAAACCTTGGAAGAAAAACAGTGGAGTCACGGTGCGGTGCGGGGCCTACAACGAGCCACCACTTTGGAGGTTAGGCATTTTATTTTCCCGCTCGATAATCATAATTTTTATCACGGTTAACGGTTATCACGTATTACTATTTACTTTTCTAACTGCGCTCCGTTCATGATTTCATCGCATATTACACATAGTATTTACTTTTCTAACTGCGCTCCGTTCATGATTTCATCGCATATTACATATAGTATTACCACAGAATAGACTAATTTAGTTTATTCTGTTCCCTGTGGTATTACTCCATGGTTCTTCGTGATAATATTCAAAGGACTTAGGATCCAAGATTTAAGAATCGTGAATAGTGTAAGGACCGAGGACGTTAAAAATTAAAAATAAACAGACGTGTCAAAGCCTCGTTTAATATTTTTAATAACGCAACATCTAAAATATGGTGTATTCCTTCAATTGTGTATGGAACGTCCATATGCGAATTGGCTAGGGCGACAAATATGCTAAAGCCGCTGGGGCATGGCGTGGCTACCTCGGGTGACACTTTGTACTTGAAAATAAGTCGCGTCTGTTGCTGATTAACTTGAGCACTAAATACTTAGAAAGTTACTTTTATCAGTAACTTGTGATTCAACTAGTTAGTTGGTCTACAAAGTAGTTCAATTAGTTTTGTAAGAAAAAACTAACTTCAGTATTGCTTTTAAAAATAGTTTTTCATAAATGTCAACAAAAAAACACATTAAGCTTCGACGCTGAGCTGAGAAAGTATTGTTTTTATAATAATTTGATTTCATAATTAGTTATGTATATATTATTTTGTGTCTGCACCCATGATATCTCCAAAGTCTAAAACCGCTGATCTGATTTCTTCATGTATCAAGTCTCTAGATCATATTATACCGTTCCTGAAATACTGAGATACTTTATTGGGAGGAATCATTTTTAAATAATTCTCTCTGTTGATTCGCTCTGTTTTCATTATATTGTTAAATTGAATTGAAATTTAAATATTTAATAAGTTTCAATTGCATAATTAATATTTTATATTGTTATTGTTTTATTGCAATAATAAACCTTACTTATACGTTTTAACTTATATATATATTTGATATTCTATAGATATGCATAAAAGTATTTATTCAAAAGTGATTTCAGCACTCAGTAATAATGATACCTGAAACCTGTAACCACTTCAACCCTACTATGTTCCGTTCTTCCTGTCCTGCCTTTTTTTTTATTTACGAAAAGGTATTATATTATATTGGTAAAAACAGGAAATGGTTAAGTAAATAGTAAAAAATAAACAGCATACAATTATTAAATTGGAAAACTTTTTAGCTGATTTATCGATGACATTTTCTGTGGAACAGATTATATTTCAAGGTTTGTGGAAATTGAAAGCAGAACACAAATATTGTGTTAAACATATAGCGAGACTGAGCACTTGATAGAAATAAAAGTATAAATTACATTTTATAGTAAAATATTAAAAACAAAAAAATATTTTAATTAAAATTAAAACAATTTTTTTAGTCATTTTCTAATTTTTGCTCATTAACTTTTATACAAATCAAATTACTTTATTGAATTAAATTTGAAAGTAACTTATGAAAAACTTGTTTGTTTTTTGTTATTGTATGTAATTAGTTAAGCAAATTACTATCTTGTCCAGCGTTATTTTTAATCCCAGGTGGGTGATCCCTGCGATTCTTAGCAGCGACCAATGCTATGTCTTTTATTATATATTTAACCTATACAACTAACCAGCAGCCAACCTGACACCTTTTTTATTTTAGTTAACTTAAAAGTTGGTTTACAACTCGTTAGATGATCTCTGGAATTAAGTATGGTGAATTCCTGTTTGTCCCTGTACCAGGATGATGGTCTAGCCTGTGATCGAGGCTAGTGCACAGAAGCAAGGGACTGTCGCCTTAGTTGACTCGACCACATAATCCCGTCCAGAGATAGTACTAAGATATTAAGTTATTAAGGTAATCCTGACTTCTCCAAATTATTTTTAAATATAAGATGTTATAAAAAGATATTAGTTACAATAATTGTCAGAAAAATTTAAATAACATATTTATTATTGAAATGCATTAAACATTTAAAGTGTTATTGTATAAAATAAAATGTGGTACATATTTATTATTTGTATTTCTTTATAAATAAAGTAATCCTTGAAGGAGAAGTTGTTATATATGCCCAATAGTATTTTTCTTTGTAACAATTCTCATATTACTATAAATTGATTGTAAAGAAGACCACGAATTAAATAGTAATCTCGGCTAATTACACCTTCTACCAGAACTTTTCCTGATGCATTCTGCAAAAATAAAAAACAATTTTTTTTTTATTATTTAGGTATACCATAAAAGACATCAAATATGTCATAATATGTTATGAAAATATATGTACTCAGTTAATAAAAAGCCTATATTATATATATATATATATATATATAAAAATAAAAAGCCTATATTATATATTTATTATTTATACATTGTTAAGTATTAAACAAGCCATGACGTAAAGCCACGCTTTATTTCATATTGAGGCAGGGACAGACTGGATAGGCCTCGATCTAGAGGGCATTTGTCCATCTGCCGTGCCCAGTTTGGACTTACAACAACTATAGTTACTAAAAGAAAAAAAAATAAGAAATATACTCACTCTACGAACACACACAGTACGATTACAACACCATAGAACACCCTCAGATAGTTCACAGGATATATTGTTCTTAGATAATATTTGTTTGAAATCTGATAATTTTAGATGATTGATGAATATTGTCTTATGAGATGTTATTTCCTTAAAAATAAAATCGGTTAATTTATATGAATTTTTAAAAATTATTTGTGTTAACGTAGTAGTAGAAAACACAATTCACTGGTGTTAATAAATAGAGTAAGTGCTATTAGTACATTATACTAATCGGTAAAAACACTTTAGCGTGTTCATACAAATGGATAATATTGATAGTTACAAGGGTCCAAGTCATTTTTAAAAAATATGCTTCATGCGATGTGTAAACGCAAAAACGTCTGTGAGCAAAATTTAAATTTTAAGTTTTTGATATAAACAACAATTTATACTATTCCTGCTAAACAAATAGGGTCTAAATGACAATATTAGTATTCATTGGTTTATAATATATACAATATTAGGTTTTATTCAGGTTGTTGATATTTGAAATGAAATAACCAAAAAATGTTTATTTCTCCTGAAAACTATGAAAAATGATGCTTAGACTCTTTTGTAACCATCAATATGTACATTATTAATACTTCTAAGAAAAAAAAATTGAGCTGGATTTTGAACTTACTGATTTTGGTAATGGTTCTAGTGTATAAAACCGATCATCCATTCTTAATGCTGAAAATCAAAAAATAAATTTATAGCATTATATTACAAATAAATTAAATGTAATTATTAAAAAAAATCAATAGCATTACGTTTATCAGGTTGATTTCCATCAATTTCCATAGCATTTTCATCTGTTACATCATCTTTTAGCTTTAATCTTGCATTAATAAATGCTAACTCCCCTCCATTCTGACCTTTTTTTAATTGAACAGTCGAAAGTAATTCATCGGTCAACCGTACCTAAAAGTGGTATTCATATTTTTTTAACTATTTTTCTATACATTTATATATGTATATAAAAAAAAATATTCATGCTTGTACTTGATAAATATGTGACTCTGTTGTGACATTTAAACATTGACCAACTTTAGGTGCAAAGACTTTGCTATCTGAAAAAACTTTAGTGAAATTCGAAACAGTCTTGGTGCTCAACGCAGAACCTCTTACTAATAACAATCGTCTTGGTCTTAGCGAAAGTATAATCTGTTTTAAAGATTCACCATCTGAACGGCCTTCGAAATCTATATGTACAATTTTTGAGGCTATGTGTATAATTTGTTCACAATCCACACACTTGGAGGGAAGATCCAATAGATCAACTTCTTCTTTGTCATTTGCAGTCTCATTCTGTCCATCTGGATTTGTACCATTTACACAACTCTTATCAAACTTTATGTAATCTTCATGTCTATAAACAAATATTATCATAAAAAAAAAATTAAATGTAGATCACAAAATATTAGCTAATGTTATACTTGATTATTTGGCCATAAGCATCAACTTTGCATTTTTCTTCATAATAAGGAAACATCAGAGCTACCTCTTTCTTCGTTGACTTTCTCATTTTTAATTTATCAGCATCTTCTAATAAATCAGATTTTTCTTGCAGTGGTACAAGTTCGTCTTCAGAATCAGAACTTTCTTGAATACTTTAAAAATAATAAAATAACTTGTAAATTTCTAATCTATTCCCAATAATTTATAAATATCATATTAAGGTTATTGTAAAGTTATATTGTACATAAATATTCTAAAAACAGATGGCTTTGGGGTCTATTCCTTTAATATAATGTATTATTCGCACATAATAAAACGAGTAATAATTAATATCATAGATAGTAATTAGACAACTTGGTAATATTGCAGTTAACGAATACTAATTTTTTAATTTTAACCAAACCTTGAATTATTAATGGATTTTTTTAAAAATTCTACAAAAATACTTACACTTTACCAATATCCATATTGACAACATTATGTTTCGCATAAAAATCTTCTAGTTCTCTACCTTCCAATGGTATTCGTTTCTTAATTCTCACTTTGATACTTCTATTGCCCCCAAAATCAATCAAATCACGAGCTAATGTGCCTGGAGCCGTTCTAAAGTATAATATATATCATTACATCACAAATTACAATTAAATATCCAACTATTTTTATACATTCATCGGTTTTAAGTACCTATGAGTAAGAATTATACTATTTATCGGATTAGATGCCCACTTGAGAAACACCTCTCGTGAAAATCCACTTTCTAGATCAGGGCTACTAGCCAGCACAATCTAAATTAAAAAATAAATACATTATATTCTTTAGTTAAAACGTCCCATATGATTAGCACTATACTTTAGGGTCTGATGTTTTATTCAAATCATTTATATTGTGACATAGTTTAACGTGTTTAAAAAAAAAAGGATTATTCCTCGCACCTTCAAAACTTTTCATTAATTTGTCACTCATCCATTCAATCTGAGAAATAAATATAATGATAATTTTTTTTATATAAAATACGTATCAATTTAATTAAAAATAATCTTTAATTAACATACTTGTGATTTTGCAAACTCTACGGTGTTATAGCTTACATTAGTTAAGAATACCAATGAATAAACGAAGAGACCGGATTCTTTATTGCGCCATAACTGATCTAACATGTGCATTAATTCTAAAACCCGTCCTGCAGTGTCTATAGCTATTAAAACGTTACCCTTATTTCGAAGTGTAGTCAGAATAGTAGCTAAATAAACATTATATATTAACATGCAGATAATTATTAAATATCAGAACAGATGGGTAATTCAATAATTTAAGTTATTTCTGAAAGACATACTCATGAGTGTTTCATCTCTAGATCTTCGCCTGGCCTGAGAGTAAGCGGCATTAAAACAATCCAAAATTAATAACGATGGACGAGTGAGTTTTTCTAAATCACTGCCATTTAAATGCCTTTCTTTTTTATGGTTAAAATCCACTGCATAAACAATATCTTCTTCCCCTACTTTTGATATTTTCCATATAGTTCCACCAACCATATTCCCAGCTGGTAAAGCCACTATACTCATCCCAATTCCTTTACCTGAAAAATTACAGCAATGAATTAATTATTATTTTAAAATGTACTAGGTATTTAAAATTTGTCATTCAAATTCATACCTTTTAATGTAATAACTTGGTTGTATTTAACTTGAACAACTTTATCAAAAGCTGCATCGACGTCATCCAAATTAAATAATTCAAAGTCCTCCACGTTGTACAAAGACTGGAAAAAATTAATTAAATTAAGCATCATGCTATTGATGAAACTAACATCGAGAAATAACATACTTGGTACAAGTCATACATAAACATCTGACCCATTTGATAAACAGGGATTGTGGCATAAACTGGACAATTAAGACCACATTTTCCAACAAGGTACGGGAGAGCGCCTAGATGAAATTGATCTGGATGAGATAACAAAACCGCATCTATTTGATGTATGTATCTGTCACAAAATGTAATATTTAGTTTATGGTTAATCAGTCTAGCATTTTTGAACTAAACCTTTTTAATTTGTTGATTACACCCATACTGAAACGTTCATCCCAACCACAATCTAAAAGGAACTTAAATTCGTCTATTTGTAATAGGTAACAAGGTGGAGATTCATCCATAGAACCCGATAATGTATAAAATTTAATAATGGACGTCATGTTTAAGTACAATGACAAATCTGAGATACCAAAATCGAATTTATTCTGCAAAAATATTTGTATTAAAAGAAGGGGCCTGTCGGACTTAAAAAATTATATTCAACAAACAGAAATAGTAGTAATACACCTACTGTACAATACAAATTATTACTAAATAGTCGTAGCTATAAGTTTATAATTAAATTTTAATAAAATGAACATTAACATTTCGTAATAATAATAATAATTAATAATTATCAGTCAACTGTCAACACTAAAAAGTAAATACTATTATTTAGACGGGAAGTTTCAAGTTTATCAATATGTGTCGAGATAATAACAACGAGAATATTTTGTGATAATAATTTAGTTTTAAAAAAGTGATAGCGGTAACTAGTAAGAAGATAAGACATAAAGAGTAATCATGTTATATATTTTTTATTTTTATTATAAATGATAAATCCTTCATAGGTATAATATTACAGCACAGGTATAAATGAAATATAAGTTATAATACTAAGCAGGGGCGTAGACCCGGGCCTACCCAACTTTTTCTATATATATAGAGATAAAAAAATTAATTATTAATAAGAATAATCATTAATAACTTTGTTTTTCAAGGGTTTATAGTGGGCCTACCCAAAAAAAAATTCCTAGCTACGCCCCTGATACTAAGTAGTTCAAGTGATAAAACCAGCTTTGAAGATAAAAACTTTATGGTGACTTAACGGTAGGGAACCACTGTTAAGAAGAAGAATAATGACTGAGTCAGTTTAAAGGAGATAGAATAAGATATCGTCTGTGGCCGATAGAAACAACTAAATAAATAGTAATAAAATTTACTATAAAATTATATAATATATATATATTAAGCAATAATAATAATTGTTGAACTATCAATTTCCAACTAGGTAAATTTGACTTTTTTTTAATCATATTAACAGTAGGTATTTGCACTATTTTATTATTAAAAGCAGATAATGAATTTTGTAATTATTAAATAATACTATCAATCGTATGAGGGCCTCTACATATACTTACTTCAAATAATATCAATCGGACTCTTAAGTTAAGTAATTGCCTATTTAAAAAATGTTAAAACCATTCAGATGACTTTACAAATACCCATAGATAATGCAGAACAAAATACAATGAAAGTAATTTTCTAGATGTTTTAAACAATATATAGATTAGTTTTATATTAAAATTTGCATCCAAATTTAAGGTATATTACTTCTTGCATAATTCTCTTCAAATAGAAAACCATGAATCATAATGTAGATATGTATGTACAAATAGTATAGTGTATCAATAGATTCAATGAATAAATTATTTACAAACTACAATGAAACAGGTCTTTTTTTATAATTTTAGTAAACCATAAAAAATTGTTGTGGCCCGTGAATATCTGAACACATAGTACACATACACAGAGTGTCCCAAAAAAACTGAGAGTAGTTAGAAACATATTTCTGAAATTGTACTCAAATTGTAACCTAACTATAGAGTGATTTGCGAGTTCATTTGAAAACAAATTTACAGAACAATGATTTTTTTTGTAAAAAAGCGAGCAACCCATGTAAAGCAGACAACAATATACTATGCAGTATACAATGCTCGGATCAAACTTCAAAATTACAAGCTGTTTTTCACTTTTGTAAGCAAATATAACATGTTACAGATATATATGTTAGTAGTAAATGTAATAGCCAGTCCTATGAAGCTGTTATAAAAACTGCAGAAATGGGACAAGTCCACATTTTCTAATTGTTCATGATGAGAAAACTAAATATTGATATGACCCCTTTTTTGTTGTGAACTGTAATTTCTGAACGCTATATTTGTTGTTTGGACAGTCGAATAACATATATTTTACAGCCAACGATTTGCTTACACATGTTTAGTACAAAATGATAATAAAATCAACATTTATAAAAATGGACTTGCTCCCTTTATTTCTGGCAGGGATCTAGCGATTCATTTATTTGATCAATATACACTTATATTACAATAGAAATTTTTTGAGTAGGTGCAATCTGATTTTTGAAAAAGACTGACTAGATCTACTTCATAAATTCGAGCATGAAGAATTAAAATCATGTTACGGTAATTAGGAGGTGATTCATTTCTACTAGGTATTTTCTTATGATAATAGCTTTCATTTATTCTAAAAAAAAAATCTAGAAATGATGATTTCTCTCTTCATTCTTTTTTCAATTTACCCAAGTATAACTTTATCAAATTATTACTTTACTAAATATACATCACTCGAATTAAATTGTTTTTTAAGTAATTTTAAACTTTTGAAAGTATGTATTGAATATATAATATATCATATCAATTTTTAAAACTTGGCTTTAGGCTTTGGTGAGTGAAGCCTCCTCTATGTTGATCACTCTGCAAAATGTTTGCCTGACTAACTGTTAAGACATTAAAATTACACAGAATAACACCATAAATCATAATTGACCGACACAAATTGTGTCCTTTCTTTAATTCGTTTCTAGACCTACATAGCCTATATTTACCCAAAGAGCCAAGGCGATTGATATTCCTATCGAAATATTGCTGAGGCCTGAGGCGTAGTGTACGGATCTTTTATTGATCAGAAGTTGTTTTAGCGGTAAGGATGAATCACTCGTCTTTACTAACCACACAGAGGTATTATTCTACGCCGCAACCACGGTTAGTAAATATCTACGACCCTTGCACCACAACAGCTGTGGGTATGAAATAAAATGGCGATCAGTCTTGAGTCGTACCAATCATAGTCCTTAGTCGGGCGTCATGACGCCGTCGGCCCTAATTTTCATGGAGTAAAAACAAATACATGTTCATGAAACTCTTGACTACGATTTAAAAAAGTCACCAGATTACTTGCACCATAATGCACAAATCAATTTGTAACAAAAAAATTGTTCATACTTCATCAAACAAGTATCACATTGAATTTTATAAAATACACTGTACATTGTTTTGTATCTCAAAGTAATAATTGTATCATTACATATCTGGTATAATTTATAAATATTTTTTTGGCGACATAAGCAATTTTTCAATAAACCACATTAAGCTTAAATTTATAAACTCATTTATAGCACAGCGTAGAGGCATCTATTTTGATATTTTTTTCCAACTTTCATAATGCATACGGTTGCTATTTTAGTACAAAAACATATATTTCTATTTTTGACAGCAGTTTTATAAATGCTCCGATTAAAGTTTTAAAAAACATTTTATTGCTACATAAAACGTATAAGTCATTGATTAATGATTGTGTTATAACCACAGAATAGATTAAAGCAGAATGGTCACTTTAATGTAAGCAAAAAAGTGACGGGCGTGTTCCAAATAGGCTATAATCATAATAAATGATACCTATACACAACTAAAGTAAAAATGTAAAATAGATATAATTTATTATGGACTATGGTTATAGCATATTTAGAAGATCTTTACCGTGTTAATTTTTATCAGTGTCCTCCCTTTGGTATAACTAAAACTTTTTTTTGCTAACTAATTATTTCTATTTAAAAAATTGTAAATTTTTAAAGATTTTTTTTTAATCATCATTATCATATTATTATATCAAACTATTATTGGATACATTTAATTTAACTGAAAATTTGTGAACTCGTAATTTCACACTACAGAATACGGTTAAAACTTAAATCTAGTTTTTTCTGACTAAAAATATATCGGTGTAATGGACAAGTTGCTAGTGATAAGGACTATTTATATGATAAGATAGAAAAACAAATAAAAATAATGTAATACACCATATAAATAATTGGAATCGGTATTTGGTAATAGTACAGTTTGATAATTTCTCCATATTTATTTACACTTTTCTGTATGTAAATTGTAAAATATTATTTATCATATGATTTACAATAAATGTTGCAAAAAACTTTCAATATGTATATAAATATAGCTCTTATTTCTCGCATATCATACAGCTTCTGTTTGGCAATTTTGGCAAACGCCACCAGAGGCCAGCTGCAGCCAACTACTTAGTGCTTTCTTTATCCAAAAATCAATAAGTAAGTACCTATAAAATTGGTATTTGATACAAAATTTTTATGAAAACGTGTAACTTCTTTGTATTTGTTTTGTTATAATTATATTTGCCGTTATTCAAACTTACAGTATCTTGTCTTGTAATGTTAATACTATATCATTAATATTTTACCGTACAAATTTGCTGTCAGATTTCTTTAAGAGTATCTATTGGTGACCATAACAATTTGATATTAACCATTGAGTGTGAAGCATCTGTTAAAAGAATGTGGTCGATGGTAATGTTTGTGTTTTATATTTACCTGCCTTTGTCTTGTCTCAGTTCAAAGAGAAGTGATGCAGCTAGGAAACAAGAACGTATTCTGTACAAGATTGAAAGATATCCTGATACCACATTTAGTTATAAAATACCAATTGAGGATGATGGTGACTATGTAATTCTATTGAAATTCAGTGAGACTAAATCGTGTGCGCCTGGAGTTAAAGTATGCAATTGTTATATACTTAAGAATATTATTATTTACTCTTTAATTCTAATTTCAGGTATTTGATGTTGTACTAAATAGTCAGCATATCATACCGTATAACTTGGACATTTTTAATGCGTACACTGATTATATTGAATTTAAAGTTTATCGTGAGAAATTATATTGGGATGAAGAAGTATCCGAAATCAAATCTAACAAAATCCGAGTCGACTTTATTTATGTATGTTGGTTTTTCATTTATTTATTAGAATAGCAGTCTATGATATCCGATTGAATATTTTAACTTTTTATCAGATGAATTTATAAAATTGAATGTCTTTAATAACATAGATTTAATAATCAAATACCTATACAATATAAAAATATTGTTTATTTTAAATAAATTATTTATAGTAATGTGAATAATAAATTTATGGGAGAGATAAACTCTCATAAAGCTTAAACAAATTTTAATTTTCAGGATATCCTACCATACTAGGTAGGTTATAATATCTAACATTCAATTTTAATACTTATTGTTTTGTGTAGTTAAAAATATAATTAAAATTGTATGTACTCTAATGTCTTATAAATAATTACCAAATAACTAAAAACTGGACTAGAAACCTCTTATGAAAGACTAGTAAGATGTTATTTCACTTTCAGCTTTAATACCAAAATATACCTTGAAGTACTTTTAATTACCTTAGGCTTGAATATCTTGATTTTTCATCTTTGAACAAAAATCTAATCAAACGTTATTATAAAGACTCAAACCAAAACTCCATAGATCAGTAATCGTACCTAAAAGGTACTTTATTGGGCAAAAATTCATCCATTCCCCTTCACAATAGAGAAATATACATATTTTAAAACTTAAAATTACAATGCTCTATAATTTTTTTTAAAATAGTCAAATTAGTTCCAAATTTATATAAAATATTCTTTAAACATAGTACTACCAATTATTATATTATGACTGACAAACTAAATAAATCTCATAAACCCTTTCTAAAAGAAGGGATATATATTTTTTCTTTATTTCACTTTTTTTAACAAAGTTTTAGGAATTTAGGCCTGAAAATTAGACTGAAGGTAGATCTAGAATGGAACTATAACATAAACAATTTTTCAAAAATCTGTAGTTGAACTTTTTTTTTGGAAAATTACGTAGTGAATTAACAGGTAACGAAAACATTTGTATTCAATTGTTAACTACGATATATGGGTAATTATGACAATACAATTTGATAGAAAGACGAACAACCCTATTGTATTCCCCCTAAAACTAAAAACTAGTTTTTAAGCACATAATTGTCATTAGGTACAATATTTTTAACAATATTCCTATTTTTATCTTTGAACACTGGACCTCTCTTACTCACTTGCTACTACTACTACTAATTTACATATAATACTTTCTTACTGTGCTTATTTTGGACTGTACTGGTTTGAATCTACTAATCACAGATTCGCATTGAAGTATTTATTTAAAATTAATTTTATCACTTTCAATTTTATTAATTTCTGTAGACCCGTGACTTTCCCGTCCCTACTAGTCCCCGACTCTACTGAATTGGCTATTTTTTATACTATTAGTTATTTTATGTGTTATATTCTTAATTAACTAAAAATATGTGTTCTATTAATAATTTATTTATCCACGTATTTCATGCTAAAAGAAACCAGTAAAAAGTGTGAAAAATGTATTTACTTTATTATTATGATATAATTTTTATAAAAATTTGTTCAGGGTGAACATGGTGCACCTTCCATAAGTACAATACTTTTCGCTAAAGGAAACATTAACAGTAAGGTTTAAATAAGTTTAAGTATATCAGTTAAAATATCTTTTCACAAAGGGCGTATTAATTTTCTTAGACTTTTCGGATGATGAGTTGGAGTGCAAAAATACAAAATTTGCAAAACCCATAGTAGCAGCTATTATGTTGTAAATTTGGCAAAAAACGTTATTAGGTCATGTGCTTTCTAATAGTTTTTAAAATTTTTAAATTCGTTTGGGGGTATTTGTTACATAAACAACCAGCTATTACCCTTTAAATTACTGCTTAATAATTATATATTTTATAAATATGAATTAAATAGTAATAGAGAAATGTTTTTATTATAGATGTACCAAAACTACTACAAGCGATTTATGACAGAGAACTTCAAGAACAAAGTATTGATTGGAATAAAAAACTTGAAGAACTATTTTTTCCTTGCCCAAGTATTTTTTCTAAACAATTTGTAAATTGTTCATTAGCTATAGTGTTTATGACATTTTTTTCCCTTTTTTTAGTCCGTTATCTATAAAAAAAGCTTCACTTTAAATATTGAACTCTTAAAAAAAAAAAGTTGTAGTAAGTGATTATATAGTTTGAAAAGGTGTATCGTTTCATTATTGTGAAAATGTACTTTTTTTTTTTAAATCAGTTAAGCTATCAAAAGATAATAAACAATGTAAAATTTGCCTTGAAAACATTATCATTTTTTGCACTTTAGTAATAGTTTTTTTTTTAAATAAATTTTAATTTTTTTCAATATTATTCTAAACTAATTTTAAACAATTTATGGCCCTGCCTACGCCCTATAACAGCACTGACCTTGAAAATTAAGGAAGTAAAAATGTTTAACTTTGGCATATAAAATAATTAAGTGTATGCGCTCTTATTAACTAATATAATGCTAATATAACAATTGAGTGGCAGACATATTTTTAGTGCAACCATAATTTGGCAAGCCAGATATTTATTCTGTACAATCTATACTTATTGGTATAACTTAAAAAAGTTCCTGATAGCCAATTAATTCCTAAACGCTGTTATTAGTGTTGGAATATTACCAATTTATTAAGTGTTACTTATTTTTTCTCGGTTTTTAGTAACGTAATTAATAATAGAAGTCCAATGCATTTTGTAGGCTGCACCTTGTCTTCCTCTTTCCATACAATTTTTTTTTAACAGAGTATTCTACGAGATAGGAGTTTTTCTTGGGAAGCATGTTCTCAGCAACAAAATAACTATAAATCATGTATAAAAAAAAATATACGTTAAAAATTGTCATCAATTGGTAATACTAATATAACTAAAAATAAGTTGACGTAATCAAATAAATATGATATACAAATCTTAATGTTATTTTTAGCTTTCAACTGCAGTTTTCACGAGAAGGACCCTTAAAATACAGAGTGATTCACTAACTATGATGAACCTGTCAATATTTGAAAAGACTTTAATTATTCTTTTTCACACTTTTATAGATATTAGTTGGCCTTAATTTAATAGGTTTCTTTTTAATCTATATATAACCTATGATACCCTATGAACATACGATTTTTCATTGGTAATGTACATTGACTGGCCGATAACAAATTTTGAGTAGTTACTTTTAAAGTTATTTAAGCTTAAAATTTAGAACAGGAGGTATAGTGCGTTAGAGTAATATTTGCAGTTAAAAATAATATTACACTATTCTTCCTCTTCTCCTAAATTTGAAACTTAAGTAATTTTGAAACTAAGTATTCAAAATCGTTCATCGACCAATCATTATTTTCAGCAAAAAATTCTTAAAAGGCGAGATAATACATGTATAATATAATTATGTATAAACGCTACCATTTAAAAATTTTAAGTTTATAAGGTTTTAACTCAAAGGAATAGGAATGTTCTATTTTCATATAAATATATATTTTATAGGATTTACGAAGGGGTTGGGTTATGAGATGCATTGATATTCATTAGAATTTATTTTCTTAGGAAATAACAAGAGTGTAATTTAACAATTTTTAGTGTTATTAATAGTACATTTAATAATGCTTAAGTATTTTAACATAGGTGGTGTTTATGTTAGTTAAATATAATTGTAAGAAAATAAATATTGAACTAAACAATGCTTGCATAACGAACATTGGATGGCTTATTAGAATATCCTACTTGTTAAATATAAACGTAAATGCCCGAGAGGAAGCCTAAATACAATAAAAGATTTTTCAGAATGTCAAAGGCTCAAGTTCGTGCACGAAATTATAAAAGCTAAAAAAACCAATAATTGGCCGAAGAGTCATATTTTTCTATGAAACATTTTAAACTCATGCAAACTAGTTTTAAACTTATCACAATATTTGACTTGTGCCACAGGTCAAGTACAGGATTTATACATGGGGGGGGGGGGCAAAATATATACTATTTGCTATTGTGCAAGGACAGTGTTTTCCTAAATATTTCTTGTATCATAGATTGATGAACGCATGAGGTTGCGCATAGAAACACTAATGGACAATTTGGATGTGGCACATAAACCGATAAAAGAGCTTGCATGGAATTTAATCCCAGGGACATTTGTAAGATACCGAAAAGTACCGAATACATCAGTAGTTTTGATGTACTGGTTCAATGTTTTAAATATTTAATATAAATATTCAATGATCGTTTAGATAAATTTTAATTTATTATTGAAAATATATTAATATTGTACAAATGTAATAGTCATGTATAGTGTTAAGTTAAAACATATTTTTTTCTGCCTAAAACATATTTACGCTATAAACTATATTGATACAGAAAATATAGTTCTCAAAACATTTAAGTACATCTTATAATATTATATAAAAGTCATAAGTTAAAAATACGTTATCCCAATTCTAAATTGTATCATACTTAAGCAATTATAAAAAAACAAACCATATTACTTATTATTAAAAAAAAATTAACAGTACCATTTACCGTTCATAATTTATTTTTATTCATAACAAAAGCTAATAAAATAAACAATATTTCTATACACCTAACGCGAATAAAAATAATTCTTAACGAAACGGTTTAGGATTGTGATATATCGAGACATGAAAGTCTCATATTTTTTAAGTTCATCTATATCACTGATTTTATTTTTTGGAGTGTCTTGGGTGTCTTCGAAAAATTGAATTTCCAATAAGTGGTCGAAAACATTCAGCTGGACTTTGACGATCAGAGACAAGTCAACGGCCGTCAGCGTATCGGACCTGTTCGTGGGGTTTTCGATGCGATTGCTAATTTGTACTAATGATGTCAACAAGGTACCGTTTCCGTTTAATTTTGAAATCGATGCGATCAACTGGCGAACGGCACTCAAATTTATCGGGTCATCGCCAGCAACATATCCGAATCGACCACTTTCGTCAGTCATCAACTTATCTATGTAAATCCGCAAGTAACTGTATAGATATTCGTAGAATGTAGCCATAATTGTGGACGCCGAAAACACGGGGTAGTGCTTTAACTTGTAGTAATCGCCGGAGTAGTATTTCAGTTGCTTTCGAACGAGTTTCGCTTCCTTCTTGATCCCGTCCCATAACCAGTAATTTTTGCTGCCGGGACTCACGAACATAAACGGAACCAAATAGGTTGTTAATTCATACCTAGGTTGGCACCATTCGTCCGAAGAATAGATTAACCCCAAATCAGTAACGGAAAATTCTAGTCCTCTGGTTATAACAGATATCTCATCGATAACGCTGATTTTAAATTGTTCTTTTTTATAATTTTTGTAAATCGAAGCCGGGTTAACGCTCCACTTAAGACTGCAATTCGCTTTAAAATATCTTACCGTCGCACTTCTAACAGACGTTTGTATCATTTCCATCCTGGTGAACTTATGTTGGCCGTAATTGAATCCCGCTTGCAGCTCTTTTTCGTCAACGTCGGCAAGCCGACTTAGTAAGTTTGTCGCTTGCATTAAATACACGTTGTCTTTGAAACCAGGTAGGTCGTCCTCCAACATTTTGAACGTACCATTCCACATAGCCATAGTTGTGCTGACATTAACTACCAAGTGTTCTGTCAGTGCCCACCAATTATCCCAATCTTCGTTACTTCTGATATATGAAAACATTTCCGAATTATTCTCACGCGTTACAAAATGTTCGTACTTGAGTATATCGAAAGAAACTAACAAATTTTCGACGTGACCAGCGAAATTGCAGCTCATAAATTCTCTTAAAGTATTTGCATATTTTTCAAGTAGATCTACTTCTCTGTTTAAATAATCTCGCCCGCATCGTCTAATACCTTTCTTAATGACATTTTTGATTTGTTCTCCTTTATGCTTATCTTTCATATAAGGTAACCAACATCGATTCAACATCAGAGAGCAAGCCATTCGTTCGCCTTTCTCATCTAGAGCGACTAAAAATGACCACCAGTTGATTATAATATATACCAAAAACAACTTCATCTTTGAAAATACACCGAAAAACAAAAGTAAAATATATCACTCTTCATTAAACAAGTATATGAACTTTGTGCAATTTTTAAATGTTATTTTATGTTTGTGCTAACCGGATAACTTTCGGGAATAGGAATAATACTATGTAACAGAAGTACTATTTGTAACAGACCCAAGTTCTTCGTTTTGAATAGAACAAAAGCTGTTACCGATACATTCAATGCGTTCATAATAATATGTACAAAGCGTGCAAATTTCATATGTAAGTGTGAACAAGTGATTGAGACATTTTAAAATAGCTTGTTGTGTACGTGTTCTAGATTTTTTAGCATATCCTAAGCCTTATACATACCAGAGTTCACCGACAAATGACAATTGATGAATCCAACGACACATCAAAACATAATAGATGAATCACAAATCGCTATCTATTTGTTAGTCAAGGGGCCACTAAATATTTAAATTTAATTCATTAAACATTTTCATGGAACCATTAAGATACTCGTATTATAAATATTTATACAAAAGTCAACTTTTCTTCGTAAAACCGTGTTTTTGTAAAACAACGTTAGTGGGCATTTGGTGTTGCCCGGTAAAAGTGCGGTTTACACGTTGTTCATTCTGGAAGTTAGGAGATTTATTATAAATCAAATTTAAAAAATCACCAGTTAAATATAATATACTAAATATTGAAAGTCTGATCCCGTCTATCGAATGTAGTATAATCTGTATAAAACTAATCAATTGTTCTCAAATGGGTACTTTAGATAAAATTAATAAGGTATTAAAATATAATAAGTAAATGCGCTCGGTTTGGTTGCCGGGGACTTAGCAAATTGCAACCTTTTTCACAAAATAATAATAATTAACAATAAACCAATATTGTTTTAAAGTTCTCTTTCAGTTTTCTGTTTTTTCAACAACGCTAAATGCTATTGTATTATTTAAATAAAGAAAACAAGAGAAAACCTTATACTGAACATAATAATCTTTACCAGAGCAATGATTGCTAATTGACATTATTTTAATAAATTGTGGTTAGGACGGTTGGCTTTAATAAATTAAAAAGTACATATAAGTTATTAATTATATGGTATGCTAATTACGAAGCGTGTAGTAGCAGCTTGAAACTTTATGTTATTGAATTTTGTGTGCGACACGCAATGTCAGAAAGGAAAAATTTTAAGCTAAAAAATAGCTTATGATTTTATTATTTAGTAGGTCATTAAACCAGACGCGCAAACTTTCTTATATGTATACAACACTATACGTTGTACATGTATACCTAAACTGGGGGATCAATTTAACTTAAGACATTAATTTTGTAGCTTTTATTTTTGAAAACATGTTTTATTTATGTTATTGTAAAATAAGCAAATATTTATCTTTATTTGTATTTTCTAGAGCGCTATCAACTTTGAAACTCAAATGCGAAGGTATATACATTTAATAGTCTTTTAAATTAAAAATAATTTGCTGAATATTTTAACAAACAGTTTTAAGTAATTACTCAAGTTTAAGTTATTGAAGTTTAAAACTTAGGACGAGAGATGAGTGCAGTTGACTGTTTAGAAATGCGCACAGATAAAAATAATACTAACTACATTACATCCTTCCGTCTAAACTTTACACTTCAAAAGTAATTAATCGAAATTAGTTATTGACAAGAGACAAATACAAAACCAAGGACTCATGTTGAAAGGGCTATTTGCAGAATTAAATGTTTTAGGATTTTAGATCAACATCATTGTTACGATATTATACTAAAATATTTAAAGTTGTTGCAGCGCTAACTAATTTACAAACCCATTTAATAAAAGAAGTTCAAGATAAAATGTTAATATTAACTGTTAATAATATTTATTTGTATTTAATGATATATAGTAGCTTAATAAGTGTATGTTTACTATATTATACCTTATCAATAATGTATTGAATGTAAGAACCAAAATAAAATTGCTTTAAAATGTCAATATTTTTCTCCTATTTTTTGTCCTT